AATGTTGATTATAAGCTTTACCTTTGGTCAGCTTTCTTGGTCAAGTGAAATAAGGTAAGGGGCTGGAGAGATGGCTCAGTGGTTAAGAGCATTGCCTGCTCTTCCAAAGGTCCTGAGTTCAATTTCCAGCAACCACAACCATCTATAATAGGATCTGATGCCCTCTTCTAGCCTACAGGTATACATGCAGATATACATAAACTATAAATAAATTTTAAAAATTAAAAAATATTCTTGTTAAAAAACGTGAAAGTGTTTCTTAATTTGGAAAGCACTGCACAACTGAGTGGGGCCATCAGCATGCAATAGAACAGGAGAAGTAGAGTTCTGGAATTTTCCTTCTAGCTTCATGGCCACAAGACCCAAGAGTCTCTGGCTATTACTTAGCTACAGAGAACTAGAAACACATACACCACAGTGTTAGCAGCAGCAGCAGTCTGGATTCCTTGTTTTAGATCGTGGGTCCTACTAGCATCCAACGGAGTGCTAACAAAGACTCCCATGACACACTGCGGGTGGGTAGATCAGGGTGGGGGCATAGGATAATTATACAGAATTTCACAGATAGACATGAGTCCATTAAAGGCTAAAGGTCACTTTGAATGGCGGGATCTCGTGTTATTCTCTTTGCACCCGAGAGATCCTGAGTTACTTTTACTTTGGGTACATTTCAACAAAGATGACGAAAGAATAAAGGACTGCGATTTCTGGCCAGCTGAGTCTCAGGTGGAAAGGATGGAGGGAAGGGTCCCGTGGGCTCCTTCAGGTCTACTGAACACTTCTCTAGGAAAGGAAAATGGTGTCTCTGGGTTCAAGGAGCAGCTGTAGGAGATTATAGTGACGGAAAGTCAGAGAGAGATGGGGGCCCTTCTAGACATCCCTGGAGCAGGGGTGGGGTGGCGTGTGTGCCCTTCCCCCTCCCTCCTGTTTGCTTCATGGGCCGTGATAACACGGTGGTTTCAGGCAGAGCCTGTGTACACACGCATTTCCTTGTTTGCTATGGTAACATGGGAGTCCTGTTTTTCTACCTCTATTCTTTGTGGTCCCTTGGATCCGGGCTGTCAGAGAAGAGGACGCTGAACTCGCCCACATGCTCACATGGCCCCCATAATCAACCTTTGTCCCGAGGGATTAGGGGAAGGGTGTGGCGAGTCTACCTGTAATAGGCCACCAGTGCCTGCAATGTTGGAGCCAGAAGCCCAGGAGCAAACACGCTCCTCAGCAGGATACAAAATGGAAGGGATGACAGCAATGTGCCTACTGTGCATGACACCGTACTCCCCAGAGAACTTTCCATAGACAAGTCCGTGTGTGCCTGGAGACAGCTTGCCTGTGGGATCCCATCCCCCATTGAGAACAAGAGATGTGGGGCCTGGGAAGGCTCTTTATTGTACACACACACACACACACACACACACACGCACGCACGCACGCACGCACACACACGCACGCACGTGCACACACACACACACCTTCAGGAAGAGCTCAGTACATTAGCACTTTAGCACCAAAAGCCCTTGTGGCTGTGCTCCCTCCACCCCCATGATCAAGCCGCACAACTCCAGTTGCCTTGACATGATGGCGCCTCCTAGAGGTGTGCCGAGAGGATCCTAGGTGGCTGATTTTCCTGTTGCCTTGGCTGTACAGAAATAAAACCAACAAGACTAGAGTTTAGCTGAGTAACCTGTAACTTTGAATTGAGCAGAACTATTATTGGAGATCTGTCTGTCTGTCTATCTGTCTAATATATACAGTCTTCAGACACCTGTGGTCTTCATCCTGTTAATCCCCAGTATTCCATCTTGTATCACCTTACTGAGCTCCATAAGCAGCTGCCCCAGCCTCAGTTTCCCTTACTATAGTACACCCAACCCCAAAGCTCTCCGGGTCAGAGCTACAGGCTTTATTAGGTATTTCCTAGAAAACAAGAAAAAAATTACTCCAGAAAGGACACTGAAAAATCCCTCGTAGGCAAGAAGGCAGGCTGGGGTAGCAACATTTGGGAACTATTAAAAAGTCCTTTCCTTGGGGACTGGAGATAGCTCAGTGGTTAAGAGCACTGACCTCTCTACCAAAGGACCTGGGTTCAATTCCCAGCACCCACATGGCAGCTCACAGCTGTTTGTAACTCCAGTTCCAGGGGACCAAACACCCTCACCCAGACATACATGCAGGCTAAACACCAATGTATATAAACTTTTTAAAAAACTCCCTGCCTGTCTTGCTACAGCCAGGTTGACTTGTGCGCCTGATGCTCCTGCCTCAGCCTCCTGAGGGTTGGGGTAGCTGGGCTGGGTGGGGCCCAATGCTTTTCCATTGCTCTCCAGCCAGGGTGCTCCGACATGAGGATGCAATGGTGAGAACCATTTGGAGAGGTCCCTCCAGGGCAGTGCACGCCTACTGTTTTGTACCATGTCGAGGAGCACGGGGATCCAGACGTGAGTGAGAGCCAACCTCTGTCGTTAGGCAGGACACAAATACGGGAATGATAGAATTAAAAGGCAACATGGAAATTGAGCAAGATGTACAGGAGAGGCGTGAAAAAGCCAAGCGCAGTGGGAGTTTGCGGGAAGTAAGGATGAATTTGAAGTCGGTGGAGAGGAGAGGATTTTACCCCTTTGGTTGCAGGGTCAGGCTGAACACCTGTCCCAAGAGCATCTATTCCATATTCCAAACAGCTATCTGTCTGTCTGTCTGTCTGTCTGTCTGTCTGTCTGTCTGTCGTGAGATCAGGTCACCTTTTCTGAATAGATTTTCTTGACTTATGGGTCAGCGAAGAAAGGCCTCCTGAGAAGGGTTCCCTGGTGAGCACCTCAGTATCTGCAAGGTAGATAAAGAGAATTATAAATAGCGTGTGTGTGTGTGTGTGTGTGTGTGTGTGTGTGACAGATTCTCATATATAACCTTGGCTGACCCAGAATTTACTATGTAGACCCAACTGGCCTCAAATTCAGAGATCTACCTGTCTCTGCCTCCTGAGTCTTTGGATTAAAGGTGTGTGCCACCGTACCTGGCTTATTAATGTCTCTTTGTATGTTTGTTTTTATTGGTGTTGGATATAGAATAGCCAAGGAAATGCTGGGAAACGTGTTAAGTTGGAGTATTGCCATCAAAGAGCAGGATTTGGAGCTGAGGCAGAGTCTAAGCTTTAGCAGAAACAATAAGCAGGAACAACAACAATTGCAGCATTTTAAAACCAAAATATAATGGCATCCTTTCCCTTCATTCAGTAACAATGAGATTTGCCTTACATGGTTGCTGCCAAGCACAAATAATACAAGCATCTGGGTTTTAAAGAGCCGAGGTTACATCCTTGGTAAGAAGGAGACTCTGGGGCCCGAATGCCTGGCTTCTACCTTCTCTGCTGTGTGTCTATTCTAGGACCTTAGCAAGTTACTCAGCATTCTGTATCTCACTGTCTTTATCTACAGAATAAGGATGATACAGAACCCACGTCATAATGCTGATTGAGATAAGTAATTTTAATTGTCAGAGATGCCTTCAGTACTCTAAATAGCTCCCAGCATAGAGTCAGTGACATGCCACATAAACTGAGACATCATTATATTGACGTCCTCTGCAGGAGGATTATACAACTATGGTGATCACTTTCTGAGCACAGAGTTGAATTCCCCCTGCCTCTAAAAGGGGAGGAGAAAACAGGAGTATTGAGTTCTCTGAACCTTGAGTCTCAGTTTTATCAAAAAGTCATAAAAATACCTGGAAGGTCTAGAGCCAGGAGGCATGCCCTTGAAGTCTTGGGAAAGCCTTCTCTCCACCCTGCCCTTACTTACCTCTTCGGCTCTCACCAGGCCAAAAGTTCATGCCTAGTGGGATCTGTTGCCTGTGGAGCACTGGCACCGATGACCTAGCTAAGGCCCACTGGTTGACCGGCACTGGCTCGAGACAGCAGCTGTGGAGAGTTGACTGGCTTGGAAGGATGGGTCAGGCTGACCAGAGAGGTGAACGTTTCTGACCCCATGGAAGCCTCTAGCTAGAGCTGGACTCCAGGCTGTGGATGTGTCTCAGCTCATAGACGGCTCTCTTAGTGTGCATAGAGCCCTGAGTGCAATCTCTACTACTATATAAACTGGGTGTGGAGACGTAGTAATCCCAGCACTCAGGAGAAATTCAACGTCACCTTTGCTATGTAGTGAATTCAAGGACAGTTTGTTCCTAAAAGTGTGGTCACAAAGATTCCAGAGCCTGGAGGTGAGGAACAGTCTGTTCCATACTTGAGCCTGAATATATGACACCGGTCATTAGCTTGAAGGAAGGCACGGATTTGCAGGTTCAGTGGGCTATCCCAATCTCCCGACGCTCATAGTTGCTGTGTGTGGCATGTGCTAGCGTCCACATCCTCAGAGAAGTCCGAGGCACAGGGAAGTTGGATGGTTAAGTGGAGATCAGTCAGCTTTGTCACAGACAGAAGCAAGAATGTAACCAGTGCCTAACTTTTCTTCTGTCCCAGTAGGGGACCATTCTGAAGACACCTGCACTTGAAGAGGTGCCCCAAGTTGAGCCCTAAAGGTGTCACATAGAAAGGAGAACATCACATCCCAGGCAGGCACTGGGAGCTGGGATGTGAAGGGGAAACCTGTGTCTCATTCACTCTGCTGGTTTTTCCACAGTGAGATAATCCCACCAACATAGACACTAAACTGGACCAGGCCTTGCGGACTGGGAGAACTGTACTTCCTTCTTCTCCTAGCTTTATTTCAAGGATGATCCAATGAAAGGAAGACAGGTACTTTCCAAACGTCCTGTGTCAAGGGCTCTGAGTTAGGAAGAAATCTGGCTGGCCAGGTGTAGCCTGTCAGACATGTCAGAACTGCCTTCTGTTTAGAATTGCTCTATCTGCACTTGAGAAACTGGGTATACTCAGAAAGAGGGGACAGTGGATCATGACAGCGGTGTGTTGAGGGCTCTACTGGTGGACATAATTGCCAAAGGTTAGCTGTTAACATAGAGGCCACTAAGATAAAGTGAAACAAATAAATGAAATACAAGCTTCTTTTATTAACATTTATTATGTGTATTAAATGTACAAAATAATGGGTTTCATCGTGATGTTTTAACACACGCATTTAGCAAAAATTGACACAATTTTATTTTTATGTGAGTTTTAGCACATCCCACTCCGGCTTTAAATATCTTGACCTCATTCTGGTTACTGTACCACTAACTAGAGAAATTTCTGGTAAGGAAGATTTTTTTAAAGGCTCTTCTGCCATCTGCTGGACAAACCTGGAATAGTGAGAAATTTGTTAAGGAATTAAAGACTTTTCCTGGCCTCAATCACTTTGCCTATGTGTTTTTTTTTCTTTTCTTTTCTTTCTTTTTTTTAAATTAGGATTTGTGTGTGTGTGTGTGTGTGTGTGTGTGTGTGTTCTACCTTTTGTTGCTCTTTCAGTTTGATTGTTTTTGGTCTGTGAGTGTGTGCACACAGGCCAGGGGTTGACATTGGGTGTCTTTCTCTATCTTCCATGTATCTCTTGAGATTGGGTCTCTTGCTGAAACTGGAGCTCATTGGTTTGGCTATCTTGGGTAGCCAGTAAGTCCCAGAGATTTTCCTGTTTCCACTAGCAATGCCTGGATTATAGGCGTGTGCCTCTGCACCTGTTTGGGTTTTGTTTGTTTATTATTATTATTATTATTATTATTATTATTATTATTATTATTATTATTTAATATGGGTGTTGAGAACCCAGGATCAGGTCCTCATACTTGCAACTGATGATCAGCTGGGTCACTAACTGAACCATCTCCCAGTTCCTGCTTTTCCGAGTTTTCAGGACACACTTTTAAACTCAGTTTGAGGGTTTGAGGGGCTAGAGAGATGGCTCAGAGGTTAAGGGCACTTGCTGCTTAACTTCAGAAAGAACCCAGTACATTAGCACTTTAGCACCAAAAGCCCTTGTGGCTGTGCTCCCCCCACCCCATGGTCAAGCCACACAACTCCAGTTGCCTTGACATGATGGCGCCTCCTAGAGGTGTGCCGAGAGGATCCTAGGTGGCTGATTTTCCTGTTGCCTTGGCTGTACAGGATGGACTTGTTATAGAGGACCCAGGTTTGAGTTTCAGCACCCACATGACAGATAGTTCACAAACATCTGAAATTTCATATATTGAGGGATCCAAAATAGCCCCCTCTTCTGGCCTCTGCCAGCACCAGGCATGCACGTGATACACAGACATGCATGGAGCAAAACTCCCATCCATATTTAAAAAACCATTCTTTTAAAAATAACAACTCAGTTTGAGAAACAGATGAGCTGTTATGTTTTGCAACCCTGTAATTACGTTATTACTAATGATCTTTATCCTTTAATGCTCAATTGGAGCAGAGCTGACGGGACATTTTGACAGCTTCGGTTTATGCAACTCACACGGCAAGCATCTTTGCTTCGTTTTAGTGTTGGCTGCAGGGGAGTAAACGCTGTCTGTTTCTCCTCACAATGATACAGAAGATATGCTGATCCCAGATTTGATGCGCCCAAGTACTGACCCCCACTAACAAGGGCCAGTGCAGAGCAAGGCCACGGTTTCTGTGTGGTCTGTCCCTGTCTCTGGACTTGCTGTTAGAAAACAAAGACAAAGGCATCTACGGTGCTGGTCTCCCCACGGTCGCCCCCATTTTCCCATCTCTTTCTCTTTAGTCTTTTACCATCTGACAGAACTATCGACTGTATTTTGTTTGCTTACACACATGTGCGTGTGTATGTATATATTTAGAAACAGGGCTCTTGCTGTGTTGCCCAGGCTGGTCTCCAGTTCCTGGCCACAAAATAATCTCGGCATCAGCCTTAGGAGTAGCTGGGCTCACAGGCATGTATGCTCGTTTATTAGTAAGATTTGCCTATTTTTGTTGTTTGTTTCCTTCCATTATGGTATAAGCTCCCCAAGGCTCTGTCCTTGGTTTCTGTGGGACCCTCAGTGTCTAGAACAATGCCTGCCACCAGCTAGTATCAAAAAGTATTTGTGGGGTCAGTGAGAAGGCTCAGTGGGTAGAGGAGCTTACCACCAAGCCTGGTCACCTGAGGTTGATCTCGAAGACACAAATGGGGGCAGGAGAGAAGTGACTCCTGCAGGGTGGCCTCTGACCTCCACATGTGTGCTGTGGCATCTGTTTCTACAAGCAAATGTAGAAAATTAAAATATGTACATTTTAGGTCTATTTATCTTATTTTATGTGAGTGTTTTGCTTACATGTATGCGTGTGTGCCATGTGCAAGCCTGCTGCCCAAGGAAGTCCGAAGAGGGCATTGGATCCCCTGGAAATTAGAGTTACAGATGGTGGTGAGCACCTCTGTATGTGGGTGCTGGGAATTGAACCCAGGTCTTCTTCAAGAACAAGTGCTCTTAACTGCTGAGCTATCTCTCCAGTCCCTACGGGAAAAACAAATTAAACAGTTCTTTTAAAGACTGACATCGTCGTCTTTTCACCTTACACGGTCATAGTACCAGGGTCTGACGAACTTGACATTTCCGTCTCAGCTGTCTGAGGACTTTCTGCAGAGACTTAAAGGCTGCTGTGTCCGTGTTAGCAATAAGAGAAAGGCATGTATGGGGTGAGCAGGTCCTGGCTTGGTCCTAGCTGTCTTACCCAGTCACTAAGGAAGCAAACGATTCTAGGAAAGCGTGGAAGAGAAGAGTTCAGAAGCTAGAGAACTGGACGAAAGGAAAACCAAAAGGCTGAGTATAAATGCGGAAGAGTTAGGAAACCCTGCCTGAAGCACACAGACAATGAGTGATTTATGTGTCTGTGTAAAATTCTATAATAGCAAGCTGGCATGTAATAGCAAGTGGTAGCAGTCTAATCCCTGAGTTCAAGCCCAGCGTGGTCTAAAAAGCGAGTTCCAGGAAACCCAGGGCTACACAGAGAAACCCTGTTTCAAAAACAAACAAACAAACCAACCATATATAATAGTTGCAACTTAGCATTTCTTACTTTGGTCCCAGTACTGTATTACTGAAAAACTTCATTACATATGCATGGCTTTGTTTTTATGACATGTTTGTTTTACACAAACAATGCAGGCTCAGTTCTATCTCCGCCTTGATCTTCAACGCACCCCTTCGAAGGTTCAGAATAAAGGTGCAGGTAGCTCCACCTCCTTACTGGAATTCTTCCGTCCGGCCTCTTCCGGTTAGTTTGGGAAGGATCATATTTCACAGGACATAGGAGATTCACTAATGGTTCAGCTGAGCTGCCCCAACTTTTCCAACCCAAAGCTGGTGAACTGGTGCGTTCTCTCTGGAGGATGACCCCTCTGGGTGCCAAAGGTTTGAGGTTGTTGTCGGAACGCTCCCTCAAGTTTCGCAGCGCAGAGGCCAGGACTACAACTCCCAGAGTTCCGCGCTCCAGGGCGCGCGCGTGCACCGTAGTGGCGGAGGGAGGTGTCCACCTCTGTGGGTTCTCAGAGTAGGGCGCTGTTGGCGGCGCGCTTGCGACTTAGGGAGCTCTGGTCCTTCCGACACTTGTCGAGGGGAGGGAGGAGCAAGTACTTAGCTTTCGGCAGCACTTCGACTTCTGTGCAGGCCACTCCTCCAAGAGTTAGGCTGTCGGTGAGCGCAGGCTGTGACTCGGGTCCCGGTCTTCACGGTCCCTTCCTAGGAACTGACCTGGAGAGGTGTGGAGGAGGAGAGCGCGAGGCCTGCCGGTCATCTACCGGGCCCACTCCGGATTTCCAGGAGGCTCCGGAGAAGCTGTCCTCCTGACGGGTAACGACCCCAACGCTGGCTATGAAGAGCGACGCCTCGACTTCTGCAGCCCCCTTGAAAGGGCTTGGGGGCCCTTTGCGGAGCAGCGAGCCTGCGCGTGCCCTTCCGGCTGTGTTACCCGCGGTGCACCTGCTGGAGGAGGCGTCCGACCTGCTGGTGGTGCATCTGGACTTCCCTGCCGCACTAGAGACTTGCGAACGGGCTTGGGAGAGCCTGGCCGAGGAGCCCGCAAGTGGCACGTACGTGCTGGGCTGCGTTCCTTTCTGATCCTTTTGGGGGAGGAACTCGGTCTGCTTTTCTGGCATGGCCAGATTGTACCAACCTTATACCTTGCTTTCACTAGAAGATCCTCTCTGAGAGAGGCTGGTTGCTTATTCTGCACCCGTGCTACTGAGGAAGAAAAGGTTGCTGTACGATGAAGAAGTCAAATCATTCAACAGTTTGGGGAAAGCCGCAGCAAGTTCGTTGCTCACTCTTTCAGTGCAGGAGGACAGGGTGACTGTCTATTAAGGGTTCAGTCCTAAGGGGATCAGTAAGCAGGTAGCAGGAGGCCTCCTTGGGGAACCCATCCCCCATTCACTCCTGGCCTTGTTGGATCGTGGAAAATGGGGGTCAAGGCAGAAGTGTGGTCTGGTCCTGTTGAAGGATTGGATGAATTACGATGCATAGGCCTCCTCTGGCAGCTGGGGGCACCATTTCTCTGTGGAGTGTAAACCTTCCTTAGAGCTGTGTGAGCATACCAGGGAGGGAGTAGGCAGAATGAATAGCCAAAGTTGATGTCAGAGAAGCAAAAACTGGGGAGATCGGCTGTGGTTTTTAGGGGGGTGGATGTTGCACAGTTGATACAGATGATTCTAATGGCCAGTTGAGTTCCTGTATGAACCCCCAGCCGGACCCCTCCCTCCAAGCCCACTTGGCACTAAGCAAACTGTTGATGCCCTCTCCCCTTCAAGGCACACCTCTTGGCTGCATGCTTGCCCGGTGCCATTCCCAGAGGGATTACCTGGCTCATTCAGTTCTGATTCCACCTGAGTGCCAAGATGTATGTTGGGCAATAGCTCATTTGCTTCGGAGAAGTTTCCAGAACCTAACTCCAGGGGGGATGGGCAGCCCAAGAGCCAAGAGCCCATGGTGAGGCCTGGTCCAATCAATTACAGAAGAGGCAAGGGTGGTAACCTCTGAGTTGGAAGCCGGAGAGCAGTCCAGTCAGAGTGGAAGAGGGAATGGAGAGAGGGGGTGCCGTGCTCAGCCTGACTCCTGTCTTTCTGTTGACAGCGTTGTGGAGGTGAAATGCTCCCTGTGTGTTGTGGGGATCCAGGCTCTGGCAGAAATGGATCGGTGGAGAGAAGTCCTGTCCTGGGTCCTCCACTATTACCAGGATCCTCAAAAGCTTCCTCCCAAAGTCCTGGAGCTGTGGTAGGTTCTGGTTGCTGACACCGGGTCAGTGTAGGAACCTAAGTCCTGTCTTGAGCCAGGGTCTCATGGTTCATTTCATTTCTCCTCTTTCTGTATCAGTTCTCCCCACTTGGTTCAGACCTCAGCCCACAGCAGCTAAGGATGGGGAAGGCAGCATTTGGGAGTAAAAGAAAAGAGAGCACACGTAGGACAGTAGTGAACCCAGGCTAATGAGTGGACAGGGCCAGTCAAGCTTCCTGCTCCCTCCTGGGGGCTTCTAATTCTTAACAAAAGTTTTTGGCGTGTGTGTGTGTGTGTGTGTGTTTTGTGTGTGTGTGGGTATGTGTATAAGTGGGATGTGTGTGTGTGTGGTTGCATGTGCACATGCATGTGCACATGGAGATGAGAGAGGGGTACTTGTAGTCATCTGACATTTGGTGATGGATGCTTAAAAGAAATTCCATACTAGCTCAGAATTGAGTATAATAAAGGGTTATTTATTTAGGGGTAGACTCACAGATCACAATCCTCTGGACGAACAGAAAATAGGAACCAAATAACACTGCCGGGTGAGAGAGCAAATGCATGCTTTACATGGGCATATATAGTATAAGAGGCCACGCCCAAGTGGGTGGGTAATGTAAAGGCTACTGGCTGTAGGAATTCCTACAGCAGTCGTTCTCTGCTGTATTCTGCTGAGGCAGGGTCTCTCCCTGAATCTGAAGCTCACATTCTTTTCTTGGCTAGGCTTTTAGCCAGCAAGTCCTACTAGGTCCTCTTGTCTTTTCCCTCTCCATGCTAGGGTTATAGATGTGGGCGGAGCCACATCCTGCTTATTATGTGGGTGCTAGGCCCCCAACTCTGATCCTCAGGATTGTACAGCTAATACTCATTTAAAAAAATATTTTACAGCCGGGCGGTGGTGGCACACGCCTTTAATCCAGCACTCGGGAGGCAGAGGCAGGCAGATCTCTGTGAGTTCAAGGCCAGCCTGGTCTACAAGAGCTAGTTCCAGGACAGGAACTGATGTGGGAGTGTCATATCAATCTGTTGATTTCATTGGTTAAGCAATAAAGCTTGGTTAAGCTTGGCCCTGATAGGTTAAAACATAGGTGGGAGGAGTAAACAGAACAGAATGCTGGGAGGAAGAGGAAGTGAGCTCAGACTCAACAGCTCTGCTCTCTGGAGCAGAGAAACCATGCAGCTCCTCTCAGAGGCAGACACGATGGAGCAAGCCGCCAGGTCAGACATGCTGAATCTTTCCTGGTAAGACCGGTGCCACACAGAATATTAGAGATGGGTTGATCGGGATATGAGAATTAGCCAGTAAGGGCTAAAGCTAATGGGCCAGGCAGTGTTTAAATGAATACTATTTGTATGTTGTTATTTCGGGGCATAAGCTAGCCAGGCGGCTGGGGTGCTGGGGACGCAGCCCTGCCACTCCTATTACAACAAGGAACCAAAAAGCTATGGAGAAACCCTGTCTTGAAAGTCAGAAAAAAAAATTACAGCTGGGCAGTGGTGGCATATACCTTTAATTCTAGCACTCGGGAGGCAGAGGCAGGCGGATCTCTGTGAGTTCGAGGCCAGCATGGTCGACAAGAGCTAGTTCCAGGACAGGCTTGATAGCTACAGCAAAACCCTGTCTTGAAAAACCAAAAAAATTACTTTTTATTTTATTACATGAATGGGTGTTGTGCCTGAGTGTATTACATGCATTGTACTACATGTACTGTATAGCTGCACTACATGAGTGCCTGATGCCCACAGATGCCAGAAGAGGGTGCTGGATCCCCTGGAACTGCAGTTACAGACAGTTATGAGCCTCCGTGTAGATCCTCAAACTTGAACATGGGTCCTCTGGAGGAACAGCCAGTGCTGAGCCATCTCTCAAGCCCTCAATCTCTATTTTTATTTATTTATTTAATTATTTAATTAATTAATTAATTAATTTTGTTTTTTCGAGACAGGGTTTCTCTGTGGCTTTGGAGCCTGTCCTGGAACTAGCTCTTGTAGACCAGGCTGGTCTGGAACTCATAGAGATCTGCCTGCCTCTGTCTCCTGAGTGCTGGGATTAAAGGCATGTGCTACCACCGCCTGGCTGCAATCTCTAATTCTTAAACATTTATTATTATTTTTAAAAAATTGTGTGTGTGTGTGTGTGAATCAGATATTCCAGAACTAGAGTTACAGGTGTTTGTGAGCTCTCCAGTATGGGTGCCATGAATCAGACTCCAGTCCTCTGCAAGAGCGGTGCATACTTAATCATTATCCCTCCAATCTTCCAATTTTTAATTCTTAGCAGTATTTTTGTCCCATAGGGAAGGGCTGGAGGACCTGGGTGGGTAGGGTTGCAGAAGTATGTGGTTCTGGGGGTGAGTCTCCTGTAGAGCACTGACTCTTCTCCTCTGGGGACGCAGCATCCTTCTGTACAGCAAAATGCAAGAGCCTGGAGCTGTGCTGGCTGCAGTTGATGCGTGGCTCCAAGACCCAGACAACCAGGGCCTTCCTGAGTACGGATCCCTGGCAGAACTCCATGTGCTCCGGGTGCTCCTACCCTTGGGTCGTTTGTCAGAGGCTGAGGGACTGGCAGTGGGCTCTGCAGCTTTCGGTGAGGAGCAGCGGGAAGAAGTGCTCCAGGCCATCCGCACAGCAAGGCAACAGTCCAAGCAGGAGCCCTTGAGTTCTCAGGAGCAACTGAAGCCGAGCCAGGAAGGTAGGACATCAGGGCTCCCTGGCCCCTGCAGAGGGGTTCCGTGGTACCCCTAAGCTTAGGAACTTAAGAGTTTAAGTCACAGGATGGAAAGTTGCTGCATTGCATTCCAAACCAGGCTACACTCGAGTCTGCATCTGGGGAGGTCGTGCTCGGTCCCCTGACCCTGATTTGTCTTCCAAGTACGGGATTAAAGACTGGTTGTGATAGTGTTCACCTTTAATCCCAGCACACAGGAGGTAGAGACAGGCAGATCTCTGTGAGTTCAAGGCCAGCCTGGCCTATGGAGTGAGTTCTAGGACAGCCAGGGCTACACAGAGAAACCCTATCTTGGAAAAACAAAACAAATCAAAAACAGAAAAGAAAGAAAGAAAAGTCGCCTTTCTTTGGTGTTTGATTAGTCATTTCCTTGAGACCCTCTCACTAGGCTTTATTCCTTCCGTCATGCTGACCTGGGAGCTGTCACTCCTTCAGATGTTAGCATGAATACACATAGCTTAACTCGGTAACTTAGGAAATAAAAATGACCTCCCTCAGCTTCGGGTCTTTGTGCGCAGCCTCCTGTCTGCTGACACTTAACTAGAGCTTTTGGGTGTTTTGCTTTTTCAGCTAAGGTGTGCCTTGTTCTTTAGCATGTGGTTGTGCTACCCCGTGGCTTCTGGTAGCATCCTTCCAAAGCAGTGGAGAGGAGCCGGGAGTCAGGTTTTCTGTTACAGGAACTTAGAGGCGCTTGGCCCCAAACTGTCTTTGCTCCTAAGTCTTTCCAGTTCCCTTTCCTTCATTCTGTGTGTGAACACGTCCAAGGTTAGAACATTGCCTGTCTCCTGGACCAGTGCCTGCCTTCTTTAATTTTTAAAGACTTATTTTTATTGTTTTAAATTATGTTCATGTAAGCATCTGTGTGTGGATATGTGATGTGAATGCAGGTGCCCATGGAGATTGGAGACATCAGAGCCCCCTGGAGCTGGAGTTACAGGCAGTTGTGAGCTCCACAGTGTGGGTGCCAGGAACTGAGCATATAATATGTGTGTGTGTGTGTGTGTGTGAACTTTATTATAGGAAAGGTTTATCCCTTTTATTTGGTATGATATCACTTTATTGTGTGGTAGAATAAATAATCTAAATAAAAATTTAGATGTGACAAAGAATGATCGTAAATTAAACAAAACAAAAAAACAAAACACCAAAATTAACCAAACCAAAAGACTATATATACAGTTCAGTGAACTTGTATACAATTTAAATAGCCATTCAGAACAGAAGCTGTGGAGTTTCATATTCGATCTTATACTTCCACATTGAATATATTTTTATGTACTTTGCCACCATCAGAAACAAAATATCCATTTCAGAGTAGAACTAGAAAAACAATTAGCTTTATACCTTCTTTCAGCATCTTCTGTGTTTTACAGCTTAGAGATTGTTAAATTTTCTCCTTTTTAAAATGTACGCGAAAGCCTGTCAGGAAATTATAATCCTTTCTCCAAAGTACTTTTCCCCATGGACCTGCTGGGATCGTAGCCCTTTTCTGCTAGCAGATTGCTGGTTTCAGGAGTGGCCTGTGGCTGCCGGGCCTCCCATCTTTGCCTTAGGTAGGTTTCTATTGCTGTGGTTCAGCACTATGGACCGAGCAATCTGAGGAGGAAAGGGTTTATTTCATCTCGCCCTTCCCTGTCACAGTCTGTCGTTAAAGGAAGCCAGGGCAGGAGCTGAGGACAGGAACCTGGAGACTGCCATGGAAGCCCTAGAGGGCCTGCCGCTGACTGGCTTGCTCCTCATGAAGTCTTCAGCCACTAGCCCAGGGACGGCCCTGCGCCCTGTGGAAAAGGCTCAGCCACATCAAGGCCAGGCTGGTAGGGGCGTTGTCTCAGCAGAGGTCCTCTCTTCCCGAGTGAGTCTTTGTCTGGGTCAAGGTGATGTGAAAATTGACAGAACAGCCGCAACCCCCGCGGCTGCTCCGGGGCCGTCTGTCAGAACTGCACCAGTAGTCTTGGTTTTATCCACAGTCCCCGTCTGGATTCTCTACTGCGTATGTTCAAGGCCTTCTTCTCTTCTCTGTGTTGGTGTGTCACTGGTACGGCTCTGAGTTATTGTACACGTGTCAATTCGTAACACGAAGAACGCTGTGAAATAAGGGGCCGGTGTTTTCAGACACACAGCTAGACAGCTGAGTAGGTCCTGTGTGCACTGACTGTGTCTTCAGACAGCCTGTCCTGAAACCCTCTCTGCACAGCTGTGAGCTGTGGGTGTAGCGCAGCCTGCACAGCTGTGGGTGTAGCTCAGCGGTAGGATACTGGCCAAGCGTCCGCAAGGTCATGGATCCGTCCCCAGCACTGCAAAAACCAAACGGAACCTCCGAACAAACAATGTTATTTTTAGAGCTCTCAGTGTTTTTCTTTTGAACTGTTTCTTGGGCTGTGCAAGGAAATCATTCTCATTCTATTTTGATTGACTCTTCAGATCTTAGCTCGAGGCTCAGCCAGGGAAGCTGATTCGCCTGACTCACCCTGCAATGCTCTGTCCCCTGGTCAGGTTCCTTCTCCCGTAAGTTGATGTCACTGCTGAGGTTGCTTCACCGGCTCTGGGGCTCTGTGGCGAGCCACCTCCTCTCTCAGCCCTTCAGAAAGAGCCTCCTGGCCGCCTTGATCCTCTGTCTCCTGGTTCTGCGGTTTGACCCAGGTGAGTCAAGGGCGCCTACAGCAGGGCCTGTGAGAGCAGGTGCTGCTGGGAGGGAGCCACCCCCTGTGACGTTGTTCTCTGAGCCTCTTCTGTAATAAGTGAGAGTCAACCTCACCTCAAGGAGAGACTGGGCTAGGAGAGCAGCTGGAGAACATTTTCCACCCTGCTGATGGAGTCACCTAGGCCTCTGCTCCATCCAGGGACAGCTGCTAGTCAGAATGCAAGCTAAGGGAGCCTTCCCCATCGTGGCACTGGAAACAGAGTCTGTTGATCCAAGTGTCTCCTGGCTAGTGTGACCTTGAAAACGTAGATGAAATTCTGATGCACTCTAGGCGAGGTGGGAAAATAGCTGGAAACAGCTTCTTTTGGTTACAGAACGTTCCCTGCTGATGTGTGCTGAGCCTCAGGTGGTTTGTCTCTTTGGCTTCACTATGACAGAGGTGAGCTTTCCAAGTGAGATTTGGGAACACACCTGGGAGTTTCCTGAGGAGTACTCACCCAGATGTGCAGACACTGGGCCACAGTTAAGGGACCACTTTTTGAGAAACACCATCCTTCACCTTTGAAAAACAAACAACAACAAAAAAAAAAAGACAAGGTCTTGCTGCATAGTACAGAATGTCCTCAACTTCTTTGTTTCAGCCTCTGAAACCCTGGGATTGTGGGTGTGCATTCTGAAACCCTGGGATTGTGGTTGTGCATTCTGAAACCCTGGGATTGTGGTTGTGCATCCCAAGCCCTGGGATTGTGGGTGTGCATTCTGAAAACCTGGGATTGCGGGTGTGCATCCCAAGCCAGGTTTTCTGCCTTCTCCTTGCTCTGTGAATTGCAGCCTAATCTCTGCTTTTCTCAAGAATTTAGATGTAGGGTAGGATTATGCAGCTTTCAAAACCAAGGGGAAATGAAAATCCTTTGTTTTGATCCGTTCACTTTCTTTCATTTTTGGTTGAGAAATCTAATAGCCAGAGTGGCACCGTGACTAGGCTAGAGTCCCACGGTCCGCCTATTTCTAAAGCTGCCGTCTTTTGACTTTAGGTCCCTGTCTTCCTTACTTCCCCTTTTCCTTAGTCAGTCAGAGTTTTTTTGACCCCTTAGCTGGACTCTGAGCAGGAATGTCCCCTCTGGACAGGTGGAAACTCACCTGCAGCTTCCAGAAACTCTGAAAAAGACGGGCGAGCAGCCACACCTGACGTGGGAAGCACATTCTCATGCTGGAAAAATACATGTAAAACAGGGAGGTGTAGTCTGTGATTTCCATCTGTCCCCGACTGCCTACTTCGTAGATGTAATAAGAATTTAGAAATGCCTTATTACTTCCCTAAACTCTTCTGTGTCATCAACGCTGATCTCCTAAATGGTGGCGCAGAAGCCATTTGAACTTGGATGTGTCCCGAGCTGCCCAGCTTCCTCAGCTGTGTCCTGGCCCTCAGGAGAGGAGGACCTGGGGGTGGGATACAAAGAATTGGGAAGAAATAGGTCAGTTGCTTTAAAGAAAAATAGCATGTAGGGAGGGTTAGGGGTTGGTCTCCCCCGTTTTTGTTTTTCGAGACGGGGTTTCTCTGTGTAGCTTTGGAGCCTGTCCTGGAACTCGCTCTGTAGACGAAGCTGGCCTTGAACTCACCACTGCCTGGCTTAGGGGTAGCTTTTGGTGGTAGATGGCAGATATAGCATCCCCAGCCTTAGAGGAATAAATGCCCCCCCATCATGTGTGTGTGCATATGTGCACACAAGCATGGACACTCGAGGTTGACGTTGGTGCTTTCTTCTCTTACGCTCCACGTTATTATTATTATTGCTATGATGATAATGATGATGGCTGGGGTTAAGTCTAGGGCTTCATACTTGGGGGCAGGTGTTCCATCACTGAGCTACAGCCCCAGCCCTTCTGCTTCAGGTTTTGAGAGCGTGTCTTCGCTGAACCTGGAGCCTGCTGTGGGATTACAGGTTTGTGCTGCCACAGTGCCTGACTTTCACATGGGTGTTCAGGATTCAAACCCAGGTCTTCACACTTGTTCTACAAGTGCTTTACCCACTGAGCCCTCTCCTTAGCCCTAAACACTACTGTTCCCCATTTGAGGGGCAGGGCTGTGAGTGTCTCATTGTGTTACCCAGCCTGGTCTCAACCTCTAGACCCAGCTGAGGCTCCTGCCTCAGCCATCTAAGGACCTGGGGTGGTTTTTCTGTTTAAGAAAGAAGTATGTATTCCTTATTTGAAGGCCAGAGGTGGGCTGAGATACCATGCTTGCCTGGTATGTCCTGAGGCCTGGGCTCTGTCCCCAGCACCATGTGAGACCTGGTGCGGTGGCATTTAGGAGATAAAGGCAGAAAGATCAGAGGGCCAGTTATCCTTGCCTGTATAAGTCCCAGGCCATCTTGGGCTACATAAGACCTGTCTCAAACAAATAAACAACCTTCCCAAATCAAACCAAAACAAAGGTAGAAATAGTTATTGTTTGCTTTTTAAATCTGTGATCCAAACAAGGAAAATAAACAAGTGGTGGATTTTTAAAATTTATTTTCAGTGTAGTCAGTTTGTGGTGTAATAGGCAATACTGTCATAAGGCTCCAAACTGAAAAGGTATATAAAGGTACAAAATGCAGTGAAAGTCTCCCCAAATGACCCTCCCCAGTGGCAGTCATTGCTATCAGGGTGTTTATTTTTTTCATGAATTAGGGTTGGGGCTTAATAACCATTTTTTTAAGACTTTAAAAAATATGTATGAGTCTGCATGTATGTCTGTGCACCACATGTCTGCCTGGTGCTCTTGGAGGCAAAGGAAGTGCTGGATCCCCTGGACCTGTGTTACAGATGGTTGTGAGCCTCCAGGTGGGTGCTGGGAACTGAGCCCAGGCCTTCGCGAGAACAGCAAGTGCTCTTAACCACTGAGCCATCCCTCCAACCCCAATAAAAATATTTTAATATAGGCTTAAGCCTGGGAGTAAAGAGAGGCACTCAGAAGGAAGCGAGACACACTTGGAAGCACGAGTGGGGGCTTCTCTGAGAGCTCTGTGTGTATATCAGAAAGATGCAATAAATCTGGATTATTTTCCTAGAATATTCAAGGTTATTGTAATTCTAGTAGAGAAAACCTATCTCAGAGAAAGAGAAGTTGGGGAGGCTTCCAATAGCAGGAAGCCCAGATGTGTCTCCTAGCCACCATGGTGGGGCTGAAGGACAAGCACTCACAGCTGTGTTTCCCTTCCCCACAGCAAGTCCTTCTTCACTGCCCTTCATCTACCAGCTGGCCCAGCTCTTCCGCCGGATCCAGAAGGCCACACTCTCTCGGCTCTACCCACTTGCCTTCCGTGACTGAGTGGTCCTACCTGGCTGCCTTGTCTCTTACTGTTCACATCTACAGAAGCAGAAGAGTCGAGTCCAGTGACCGAGCCCCAGATGGCACTGTGGGAGTAGGGCCACCTCTTTCTAGAAAGAGTGAGGAGGCAGGTGAGCTGTGGCTTACCGCCTCTGAGCCCTCCCTTTGGCATCCCACCGCGCTGGCCTCAAAGGGAGTGTGGAAATAGTGGCGCCTGAGGCCCAGCTACAGAACAGAGGTCTGGCTGCCCGGAACAGTTCTCTTACTTCTTCCTGCAACTGCTCCTCAGAAAGAAGGGGTCCCGGAGCAGGGAACATTCTGTCTTATTGACAGAGGCAGAGGATGACTTTCCAGGTTAGGGTACTAAGGGAGTTCAGAGTTCACAGGCATCTGGTGGAAAAGCCTTCTGCTTCTGAAAAACGTAGCTCTGAGAATTGCTCGCCAGAGCAGTGAAACCAGAGATGTATCTTCTCTCCCATGCTCCTCCCACAGATCCACCCCCACCTCCCACCCCTTCCTCCCCCACTGGTCCTGCAGTCCGGTGAGAGAGGCTTCTAGAAGCTTGAGGCTTTTTGCCCATCAGGCAGAATGTGGCTTTTGACCCACCCGGGTGACCACTGGGAGCAAAGTGAGCCTGCCCGACCTTATCTCCGGGGAATGTGATCTTTCTTGGTGCCTCATAGTCTTAGCTCAGTTTTCCAGTGTGCCAGGGCCCAAGCCTAGCTCTCTTGTGGACCCACTGGCTTCCCACTGTACCCCATCACCTTCGGCCTGTCTAGCTCACTTCGTCTCTTCACTATTTCCCCTCGGGGCACAGGGTGGCAGGTCCCCTCTCTGTGCCCTGTTGTCCTAGCTGTGGTCTGTTGTTTGTGTTGTGCCCAAGTTTCTTTGCTCGTGTGGCATGAAAAGTAGGCCAGGCTCAGAGCTGAGCGCTGAAAATGGAACTGGGTAATCAGGTGAGCTGGAAGAGCTATGGGGGCCGGGCCAGGGGGCTGGTGGGGGCCGAAGGGACAAACCTCGGGTAGGAGGCATTTCTTTGATGACCACAGAGGTCTCATGTGTTCCTGTGTGAGTACATGCAGCCACCCACACCGGATCTCTGTTGAGTGGATGACGAGAATGCAGGGAGGGTTGCTAGCTCATTGCTGGTTGATTTTTTTTTTTTAGGAATCACGAGTCAACAGCTTTTCCTTAGAAGAAGAAACTTCACAGTTAGAATTCATCTGCATCCTGATGTCTTGGGAACCATGATAGCCTTTCCCTGTCATTTTGTGGATGACTCTTAAGTAGACCCTAGATCGCTGGGGAGAGAAAAGGATTCAGAAGAGTTGAAAGCCCTTGGCAATGATTCCTCTCTTATGGCTTTTGAGATGTGAGTTTCACTATTATTGCCCAACTTGGCCCAGAACCCCAGGGCTTGAGCAGTGGACTCCACCCACCATCTTCTTGAATATCTGTGACTCATGAGCCTTATGAGAATGATTTTGAAATGAGAATCTGGACATTGACTGCCCTAGAAAAACCTCCTTAATGGCTTCCATGGCCCACAGGATACAAATCCATATTCTTCTTAAATGGAAACTTAGGCCCCATGTTAGTGGATTTGGCGGCACCTCCTTTGCTGTGTTACTTTGATTCCTGGGTATGCTGCATCCTAGCTGCCAGGTCCCCCTCAGGCCTCGCCACTGTGGCTTTGCTGATACTGCTGGAGGGTCTTATAGCAGCTCTGCCGCAGGAGACCCTTGGCTTTTCAGGCCTGCTCAGTTCCCAGCCCCATCTCATGCCCCTCCTGCCGTGGTGACTTTGATAGTGGTGGGGTTGTTCGCCTCTATCAGTGCTGTGAGCTCTGGAAGCTGCAGAGCAAGGCTCGCATTCCTGCTCCGCTGTGTGGGTGACTGTTAGGCAGAGGTCAGCCGTCTCATCTCTTAGGGGCTCACACATGACTCAACGGGCATGTTAGAAGCTTTTGGCACTTCTTTTGTCTCGAGGAAGCGTTCTTGCCAGAGGTGGCTGAGCTGAGGCCCAGGTGGCATGCTCAGAGGGGTGGATGAGCGGGCGTCCGAAGAGGGCATGTGCACCTGGCACAGGTGCTGTCCTGTGCTGTGAAACCCTGGGCACACAGGCTTGATTGTGCCCCCCTGTCCGTCTGCTCTCCCTGGTGTTCCTCACTGTTCTGCTGGGGGCCTGTGGGGCTCTGGCTATTGTCCTGATTGCTACAGGCCTGTCTGTATCCAGCCCTAACCAGCTGCCTGTCAGGTGAGGAACTTGCAACCCAAAGCACTGCTGTTACTTTGGCCTTTCCAAGGATGTGGGCTGGGCCTCAGCTCTGGGCTGAACGAGGTCAAAGTGAAGGGCGAGCTTTCTTGGTAGACCAGTACAGTAGCCATCAGCCAAAGGTGGCTTTTGAGCATGAAATGTGGTTCATTTTGTGGACACATTCTGTAATTATAAAACATACACATTAGATTTCAAAGACCAACTACTAAAACAAAAATAAAAGCTAAAATAAAAAAATGGAAATACAAAGATTTTTATATTGACTGAATGTTGAAATGAAAATGTTTTTGATATATTGGCTCAAATAAAATCTGTCGAAACTAATTTTGGCTGTTTCTATGTTTTGTAGTAAGGCTTCTAGAATGTTTAAAAATTATGCTGCTTGCATTTGAATAGTGCCATTCAAGACGCCACGCATACTGGCCAGTTTCAGAGGGGGGATTGATGTCTGAGAAGAGCAGTGCATGCTGGGATTGGGAGATGTGTCTCAGTTGCAGATGGTATCTTGCAACCACCTTCTTTTTCAGTTAATGAAACCGAGCCGCAGAAAGGTGAAACCGTTTGTCCTAAGTCACAGGCTGAATAAGACCCAGGCCTCCTGAGCCTCCTAGAGTTCTTCCCCTGCTCCTCCCACCCAGGCTCCTCTGTCACTCCGGCTGGAGTTCATTGTTAATAGGCAGCTGTATCAGAGAGGGAAGACTAGGCTCAGTCAGCTCCCAGGTGTGTAGTGTGTGATGTAGAACAGACATTGTGATCAAAGGGGTGCTTGAGACAGCTGGAACAGGCGTCCCCAGCTTAGACAGGAGGCTGGGCTGGCATGGGGGCTGGGATCAGACGGAGGTGGGCAGGCAGCAGGAGAGCTAATCCCTGCAGGGGGGCATGAAGCTCTGAGAAGACAAGATGCCCGTAATGTCGCCTGCTCTTGGCATGTATATGTACTTACGTGTACATTTTCATGTGCATATGCACATATGTATGTGAAGACATAAATATATTAGGGCTTGCATTTACAAAGCAATGCATAAGATATAAAAGGGTCATTATGGGAAAGAAAGCCTGTCCCTTCAACGCATCCATTTCTGTGCCTCATTTTCTGCCCCACGGCAACTGCTGTTGGCATCATCAGATATGTTCACCCACCCTTCAAGTTTTCCTTCCTCTTACACAATAACTGCACGCTACTGCCTTTACACACCCTTACCACTTAAAAAAAAAAAACCAACTTCATTAATCAAGGGAACTTTGCTCCCTGTGAGTACAGGGAGATCTGTCTCAGTTTTCATAGTTGTATATAACAAGATCACTTTTTCATTTAAACACAAAAACAGGCTGGGAAGATGGCTTAGTGGTTAAGATCACCCATTATTATTGCAGAGGGCCTTGGTTTACTTCCCAGCATCCACACGGTGGCTCAGCCATCAGCAACTCCAGTTCCGGGGATCTGACATCCTCCTCTGACCTCCTCGGGTACCAGGCACAGAAGGGTATACATACATACATACATAAATCTAAGAGTTAAAAACAAAGAGCAAGTGGCTGGAGAGATGGCTCAACGTTTAAGAGCACTGACTGCTCTTCTAGAGGACCTGGGTTCAATTCCCAGCACCCACATGGTGGCTCACAACTGTCTGCAACTCCAGTTCCACGGATTCTGACACCCTCACACAGACATGCATGCAAACAAAACACCAATGCATGTGAGATAAAATAAATAAATTGTTAAAAAACGAAAAACCAGAACCAACCAACTTTTAAGATGGTGTCTGACCGCATTTCTGGATTGGGCTTGAACTTTCGGCTCAAGTGACCGTCCTGCTTCAGCCTCTCCTGAGTGCTGGCACCCCAGACTCCTTTTCTTATCACATTGCTGAAATCTGCCCCCCTCTGCCCGGTTTAAGATCCGCAGAAGATGGTCAGAGCTCTTCACTGTTGCTTCCCACAGAGCCGCTGCCAGAGTAGTCCCCGTGGTCACCGCCTCGGCAGCAGCATCTGTGTCGGGGTGGAGGGTGGCCTGTGTACGCTCCGTCTAACTTCCGGGTTTTCCCTAGGTTCGTAGTCTGCCTCCAGAGCTGCCAGAAGAAATGACTGAAAGAGAAGGTTTGGTGTGAACTGCCTGGGAGGAACTGTCAGGGATTTTGGCCTGCGTGGAAACGCCACAGGATTAGTGAACTTCGACCTCTGCCCCCGTTTGGGGGTGTGGCGAGTTTCCCTCTGCCTTAGTTGGGCAAGACACTATGTCCCAGCCCTGGCTGACCTCACTCTGCTCGTTGGCAGTTCGGTGAGATATGCTTAAGTGCAGGCCCCCAATGCTCTCCCTCTGCATTTTATTTCCCTCCCTTAGTATGTCGAGCTAGAAGTCAGATGCTGTGGGCGCCATGCCCTACTCTGGATTAAGTAGATCAGGTGTTAGCCTCCAGCCTTTTGACAAAGCGCATGCTCCCCGTCTTTGATGGGCATGGGGCTGGATGCCATTCAGGGTCGCACACATGCTCAGCATCACCTCTGCCACCCAGCTGTGCCCGGCTCTGCTTTCCCTGACTTAGAAGCATTGCTTCAACCTGTCCACTTACTTAAGGTCACAATTTTCACATTTTCAGGGTCCCAAACAGATTTGGTACGGTACAGTGAGATTCTGAGAGGGTGAAACATGCTTATCACTTATTACAGCATTGCTGTGACCATTCTCATTATTGTCAAGTGATTAATTTCATACTGTATCCAACTTATAAACTTAAAATTTTCTTTAATCATTGTGTGTGTGTGTGTGTGTGCGTGCGTGCGTGCACTTTGGAATGCTGAGTCTGGAGCATGCTAAGCACAAACTGCTGCCAAGCTGCAGGGATAAGTGATCCCTTTACGGCCTCTTTTTCTGTTTTTAAGGCATACACTCCATGGAGTACTTTTGCTATATAAGGAGTGGGCATTGTGGATGGAATTTAGGGGTGCACTTCCTGAGGCCATAATTTGTGAACTGATATCTCGGCTTCCCTTTCTTTGACAAATATCTTTCCTGTGCCACAGTTTCTTTAAAATAAGCAGGTGGTTACCTGGGTTGACATTACTTTAGTTGTCCTGAGGGGTCTAAGCTTTAGGCGCTGGCCTCTAGGGTGCCTGAAGCAATTGGTGAAGGAGATGGTAAGGTTTTCTTTATCCCTTGATCTTAAGGGCCTCTGCATCTGTTTGCTGTCCTTGCCTTTCAGCTCCAGGCACTCACTGCCTCTGAGTTCCCTGTGTGTGACACAAGTGTCTACTGGTGTCTTTACCCTGAGAGTTAGCATTTGTGAAGTCAGCCCACCAGCAGGCGTGGGCGTGGGGAAGAAGCAGGGACAATTGGTGATGATGTCTTCTCCAACTTAAGACCAAAGCGACCCAGTCACCCTAATGTTGATTTTTTGGAAGAATTACCCGGGAGAAGAGCTGGTGGGACTGGGTGCTCTTACAGCTGTCCTGAGACTTGCTTTTTCCCGGTGGTAACCTGATGACAGATGGAGACTTGAAAAGGGAGGCCACTGTGTCTGTGACACTATGGCCAAAATGCTCATGCTCCCTGTTCCAAATGCCCTCAGACTCTGAGATAACAACACTGGAATATCCACACTTAAACAAGGTGGTAGGGATACACAGCACTCACTACCAATGTCAAGCATTTGAATCCAGGTTATCTCATGGTAAGATACTGCTTGCTGTCTGTCACAGGCTTGGGCACCTGGACATGGACACTTCTTTCTAGTTCTTTCCACAAGGTAAACTCCATCTTTGGCACTCCTCATCTGGCAGCACCGTCCTGGGTATCTGGACCCTCAAGCCGATAGAGCGTGGACAAGCCTCTTCATGTAAGGTTTGGCTTCCCAGTTTGGGTTCACAGCCAACGATCACACTGGAGCTCAGGCCTCTGGCATCAGACTCCTGGATGTGAAGCTCTTTTACCAGTCGCTTAATGAGGGCTAAGAGTCAACTTCTGTAGGTTTCAGAGTCTTTATCTGCACAGTGAAAATGATAAGTTTATTTTCTGTAGTCTATTAGAGAAGTAAATGAAATAATGTAAGAAAGCCCTTAACACAGTGTTTACCCAATGTCAGGAAATACGGCACAAATAAATAGAAATATCACCAGTAGGCCTGGATCCTCACTCCTCAGGAGGCTGAGACTCATGGATCGAAATTCTACACAGTAAGTTCAAGGTTAACCCAGGTAACATAGTAAGACTATCTCAAGAAATAAAAGCTAAAAAAGAAGCTGGGCAGTGGTGGCCCATGCCTTTAATCTCGGGGAAGTAGAGGCAGGTGGATCTCTGAGTTGGAGGTCAGCCTGGTCTATAGAGTGTGTTAGTTCCAGGATAGACAGAGCTACACAGAGAGACCTGTCTGAAACAAACAAACAAATGGCTAAAGACAAATAAACAAAAACCTGAGGATACATCAGTTATGGGACTTGTCTAGCACATATGAAGCTCTAGGTTCAATCCTCACTACGGCAAACACAAATATCCATATACATAATCATTCCTGTGAAGACCAGCTTTTCCTGTATCTGTAGACATTATCTCCTCTTCAAATGAGTATGGCTCAACTTTGAGGTCATCGTAATTATTCTAGCAACCGTTAACTCACTGCACGAAAATGCACCCCAGAAGTAGTCTCACACCTGCTAAGCAGAATGTGGAGGAGGTAGAGATAATTCCTTTAGAAGGCTTTTCAAACACAATGTGGGTGGTTGCTTTCTCATCAACAGCCTGGATTTGACATAGTTTCTCTACTGGCAGAAAGGGGATTGTATTAGATTCCTCTAAGGATTGGAAATGCCTTTTTATTTACTGATCTACCTAGATATAGATGAAAGAGATTCATTTCATTTGCATGTGCAGCGCTGGGAATCAAACCCAGAACCTTGACCTGCTAGGATGATGCTCTACCATTGAGCCACCAGTTCAACTCCAACAAGATTGGTCATGAAGGTTGTTCATGCTGTTACAGTGACTGAAACGTGTGAAGATGTGCAGGCTGCAGACCTGGGAGGGCCACTGGTGTCTAGTCTATCTCAAATTGCAACAAGGCACAGAAGATCCCCCGGAATGAAGCCTTGCGCTCTGTTCCGTTCTTCATTTGGGTGAGTCCATCCACGTTTAGGAAGGCATCTGATTAACTTGATGTTGATTTCCTTCAGAAATGCTCTCACAGATACAGCCAGATGTTCGACACTCTGTGGCCCGGTTAACACTACACCACACACACATACACACACACACACAGACACACACACACAGTCAGTTAGACGCACATATACACACAGGATGGTAAAACGTCCTTTTGTCTTTCAAATCCACTCAGGAAGGGCCACATGGGGTAGGCAGGGGTGGACTGGGAGAGTATCAGTAAGCATTCTGGGATTGAGCTATTATTGCTCAAATAATTTTAAGAATGAGGAATTAAAAATGAAAAAGAAGCACACACCTCTTTCTTTTTAAAAAATTTCATATTTATGAGGTCCAATATGATGAGATGTGTGTGTGGCCTGCTCGTGTTTGGGTACCACAAGCATAAAGTGCCCGTGGAGGCTTGAAGAGAGCAGTCAATCCTCTTGGACTGGAGTTACAGACAATTGTGAGCTGCCATGTAGCTGATGGGAATGGGACCCTGCAAAAGCAACAAGTGGTCTTGAGAGTCGAACCATCTCTTCAGCCCTAGGGTCTTCTCTTTAATTCTAAAGGTCTTACCTCCAAATACATTCCCCTGGGGATTAGGGCTTCAGAAACTGGGGGCAGATGCCAACAGTTCCATGAATGACAGTCAACATTCTTTTTATTACTCTGGAACCAAAAGACTTAGCATTTGTAGTGTAGTCATGGCTCCATCAAATCCCATAGAGACGAGATGTCCAAGGGTATCACCATTGTAGAATACAATTGGACGCCATCACTGCTACGAGTATCGTCAACTTTATCCCGAGACAGTAAGAGCCGCTCATAACATACTTAATGGCTTATGAAAAAAGGCTTGAAAATTTAACTTATTCAGGTACATTCTCTGAGTCCTGATGGGGCAGGCATGAAGCTGAACACAACACAGGTGTTACAATTTAATGGGAGTGTCAAAACACATGTACACATAACCTGCAATCCAAAGCATATAAAATATTAAGTAATAAGTAAGTGGAAGAAGTAATAGGATACGCCATAGGAATTTGGGAGAGAAATAAATTGTGGAATTAATAATAACCATTCTTTATTGAGCATTTGCCACGAGTTTGACACAATTTAATTATAGGTCTCCGTTTTTATTAATATTTTAATTTTTTGGTTTTTTCGAGACAGAGTTTTTCCCTGTGTAGACCAGGCTAGCCTTGAACTTACAGAGATCTGACCTGCCTCTGCTTCTTGAATACTGGAATTAAAGGCGTGCACCACCCTCCCCTCGCTGTCTCCATTTTTAAGCTATTACATTATAAGACTGTGACCGGCCTGGGTCCTTCCTCTCTGTGGGCACAGCTGCAGGGAAGCCGCTGGCCCAGCATGTCTCTCTCCACAGTGTGTCACAGCCATGCAAGTGACTTATCCGGAGCAGTCAGAGCCGGCAGTACCAGCTTGGAGGCTGGGTATCAGTGGGAAGTGTGTTCAATGCTTTCTCACACACAATAGGCAATACAGGAATGGTGGCCGACAGGATAGGCCACCCCACAGGGTTCTCTGCCCTGTTCCTTAGAGCAGAGGGGAGGCGTGTCTTCATCTGTGTTTGGAAACAGAGACACAACATCTGGCCACAGCAGTCCAAATACATCCTGAAGAACTCCTGATTCTCCCCGCCCCCCCTCCCCGGACCTGTGTGGTGGGCAGTTGCCAGAGAAAAGAGGGAGAGAAGAAAGACTTCAGGTTACATCTTTAAGTATGAAGTGGCCCTGGGTGGGGAAGTCTGTGTTGAGCTCAAGGCATGGGAACCCTCCGCCCCCCCCCCGCCCCCCCCCCGACCTGGAGACAAAGGGTAGAGCCAGTTAGTGATGTGGGCAACTAAGGAGTAGAGGCTCCTAATAGGGACAGCTCCCGCCCCCAGTCGTCCCGTCCCCCCCCCCCCCATGGATGAGAGGAAATCACTTGCTCTTCAATGTCGCCGGTGGCCCCAAAGAGGAGGTCTTAGTACAGGACAGAGGCAATGAGAACCCTGATGTTCTGTAGTGCTTGAGGTGACACTCCACATTTGGGGATTAAGTAGGAAGGGTCAGGAGACCCTTGAGAATGGTGGAGCGGGAGCTACTCTGACTGTATTTAAAACATCACTCAATTCCTGAACCCTCTTATGGAGTGCTTGCTGTAGACAAGGGCCCTGTGTATACGGAATTCTCCAGTAACCGGGCAGGCGGTGGTAGAAGCAGAAGCTTGGGCTCTGACCCGGGGAGGTCAGATCCTGCCTGCTCTCCTGGGCTGAGATGACGCTAATAGACCAGTTAGCTGCCTTCCCAGGATGCCAGCCAGTGCTGGCAGCAGGGAGTCTATGAACATTTGGAGAGAAATGAGCATTTTGTTTTGAAGTATTTTTCCACTGCTTTCCAATGCAGATCTCGTGGTGGGTGCGGGGTATGTGTGCACACGTGTGTCGCGCTCACAGGACTGCTTTTCCGACTCACTAGGCGCAGGAGCTCAGCCGCCACCGCTCTGCTCCGGGCGTGGGAAGCAGCGGGGCTGGAACAGCGAGCCACCGGTAGGAGGGGAAGTGCCATTGTGACCTACCCAGATCCCTCCCCTCCGCGGGCACTGTGATGCTGCAGGGCAACTGCTGGCCCAGCATGTCTGTCTCAGGCCCCCTCCCTCGCAGTGTGTCACAACCGCGGAGGCGGCCGTATCTGGAGCAGTTGGGGTGGGCAGGCCCAGCTGGGAGGCGAGCGGGCGAGGAGAGCTGCCACGATGGTGAGACTTCCCGGGCCCCGGCTTGCCAGGGACGCGCGCAGGTGCCCGGGTACAGAGCTCCGGGGCTACAGAGTAGCTGCCCGATGGCTTTGGATCCACTGGGCTCCAAGTCTCTTATTGGGGGGGGGGTGTTGTGGGTCAGTTCAGGATCAAGGGTCATATAGCCAGGGGTGGGAAACATCTAGTTGTCAGGTACCTTTAATTTTGCAAAGAAAGTAGAGAGCGGGGCCGTTTGCCCTTTAAAGGGACCTAAGGGAGATTTGCGCTCGCGAATGAGAGGGGGGCGGACCTGGAGAGATGGGCAGAGAGGCGAGTGAGAATCTGGGGGACTGCCACTCGTGGACCAGAGAAGTGGGATGCCGAGGGATTCTGGGCAGGTGGTCTGGACCTGGGTGTCTGGGATGTAGATAGAGTTAAGTCTCCAAACGCAATCAAAAGTGACAGACTCCAGGTTGGGGTCATTCCCCACTCTTATCATCTGGCCACCGTCTTGGGTTTGGGGCACTCTCGATTCAAGCTGGGTCCTTTGGACCCAACCAGCTTCGCAGGCGCCTGGCACTGGTGCCGGCTTCTCACCCTTCCCAGCGGTCAAAGTCAGAAAAGAAGTTTTCCTCCCTGGAGACCAGGGGACTTCAGCCGTTTAATTTTATTTCCTTTCCTGGCTTTGAGGCAGGGACTCTTCACTGGCGGCTGTCTTCACTAGCGGCTGCTACCTTTATAGCTAGAGAGACCCCCTCCTGAGCGCTTCAACAGCTTCCTCAGCTGCGCCAAAAGCTCCTGGGACGCCCAGCTACCCGGCCCTAAGGTTGGCCTCAATCACCTTCCCCCGACGCCTGGAAGGGCGGTTAGGGTGGTGGGGGTGGGGTGGGCGGGGAGGCAGTATAAGAGTATCTCACAGACCAAGGTCAGGTTCTCTGAGGAGCGCACTTGCTCGGGTGTCAGTGACAGGCTGCGGCGCCAGAACCTCCCTTCTCTCCTCCTCTCCCCCCCTCCCCTCCCCTTTCCACCTCCTCTCTCTCCTTCCCCCTTCTCCTGTTCCACGCCGCCTCCCGCCACCCCTCCTCCACTCTGGCTGTTCATTTGGGAGAGTGTCCAAGACTTGCTGGCGCTGGCCCTTCTGCTAGTCCTACCTCCAAGCCTGTCCATCATTCCTCACTCCCCAGAATGCTCCTCGACACACCTGGGAGCGCGAAGAATTTGGGAACACAGGAGAGAGTGGCCAGAGGAAATTATTCTCTTCAGGTCACTGGTGTGGGATCTTAGGAGTGCAGAGTTGAAGTTCAGATTTTGGCGCTTGGCTCCGCAGCTAGCTGTGTGCCTTCAGGAAGGTCATCAAACTTCTCTGGACTGGTTTTTCTCATCTACAAAATGAAGAGAGTTTAGTACAAATATTCAAAGCTCTTGCATATAGTTTATTATTTTTAAGCTTTTAGCTAGAAAGTGATTTAAATGTGCATGTTATATGTACATATATAAAGAGTAAACGAGCTTATTCTGTGTATCGCCCAGCTTTGCGTATTTGCTATGATTGGCCATTAATTTTTTATTCAAGACAGGCTTTCTCTGTGTAGCCCTGGCTGTCCTGGAACTTCTTCAATAGACCAGGCTGACCTCAAATTCAGGGATCCATTTACCTCTGCCTCCTGAGTGCATACTATCACACCCAGAAAAGATCAAAATATCTACTAGCATGTTTTCATGTGTATGTGTGTGAGTGACACACACACACACACACACACACACAGAGCGTGTGTCTCTATGTATTAGTTTTCATTTCACCATGGAATTTGGTGCTCAAACTCCAGTCACCAGGCTTGCTTAGCAAGTGCTTTCACCTGCTGACCCGTCTCTGTGGCCTCAATTATCAGACTTGCTTTGTTTGTTTATTTGGTCACATGATGTAGAACTGATTTTTTTTTTTTTTTTGAGACAAAGTTTCACTGTAGCTTTGGGAGTCTGCCCTGGAACTAGCTCTTGTAGACCAGGCTGGCCTCAAACTCACAGAGATCTGCCTGCCTCTGCCTCCCGAGTGCTGGGATTAAAGGTGTGTGCCACCACCGTCTGGCTTGTAGAAGTGATATTTAACATTTACAGCTTCCAGTGCATAGCAATTGCTTTAAGATTTTCCAGGTGCATTCACATCTATACTTCAATTCTGATCTGAACGTCTGCAGACTCTGAGTAGAGCCTAAAAGATGTTAAGAGGGCAAAGACAGCAATCCAACCCTTGAACAGATATCAATGTGTTCGGAATATACCTGGGAAACAGCAAGACAAGTGAAAAGCAGTGAGGTTTAAGAGGTTTGAACACCTGCATGGCCAACTGTCTTGAAAAGAGCCCATCATTTTATTGTGAAACCCTGAGCTTCGTGTACTGAGAACATTCCTTATATGCTCAGCCCTGTCTTGATGGGCAACATTTCCCACTCCAGAACCTCACAGTGAATTTTTTCCTGTTTACCTCCTTCCACCCTCTATTTTTCATTTTGACAGGGATCCCATTATGATGCCCAGGCTTCCCTTAAACTTGTGCTGTTTCTGTTCCCTCGGCCTCCTGAGCAGTAGGGAGACCCGGATCCTTTTCTTCTTCTCCTTTCTTGCTATGTTGTGGAGGGAGCGGTGGTGGCGGTGGCGTGGCGGGAGTGATGGAATCCCGAGGCCAAGCCTTATATGCTTGGCAACTGCACTACCCGTGAGCCACATCCCCAGACCCTGCCTCATTCCTGGAAGACTAGAATGATCAGTTTGTAAGCCTTCATCTCAAGAATCCCACTCTTTTTTTTTTTTTTAAGATTTATTTATTTATTATGTATACAACATCCTGCCTCCATGTATGCCCACACGCCAGAGGAGGGCGCCAGATCTCATTACAGATGGTTGTGAGCCACCATGTGGTTGCTGGGAATTGAACTCAGAACCTTTGGAAGAGCAGCCAGTGCTCTTAACCACTGAGTCATCTCTCCAGCCCTAAGAATCCCACTCTTTCAAGAATGTCCTCACTTCCACTAGTGGGTCAAGTTTCAGGCAGCTGGCCTCCGTGTTCCCATTTCCGACGCTGTCATGGAGGTCTTCTTGGGAGGTAAGCAGAATTAGCTTTGCCATTTCAAGTTTTTTTTGGGGGTGGGGTAAGAAATATGTAACTGTTTCCCACAATATTTTCAGTGTGGTCATTCTTCAGGTGCTGGGCAGGTGAGCATTCTTCTTGAGACTTGCTGGCTTTCTTCCCTGGTGCCTAGTGCTCCATCCACCAGTGTCTTTTACTGGTCCCACACCAGATACTCAAGTCACACAGCTGATCAAATCCACTCTCTAAAGCCTTCCTTCTTAACCATCAGCTCAGCAGGTCGACAGCATACCCCAGCATCCCATCTGCTGCCTGTATTTATCCAGCAAGCAGCCCCGGGGAATGTGACAATGACGTTTATTTTTGGAAAGTAGTATGGAGACTCCTGGCCAGGTACCTAAAGCTGAACCCATGTCCATGGTAGCAGGAGAGGTTTTATAACCAGAGAGAGCTTTTATAAAGGCCACAGGGAAATGGGCACGCCTATATGACCTTCGAAATACCTTCACGCCATTTCTTTAGCTTTGAGGAACACTGCCTGCATTGTATGGAAATTGACATCAAATGGTGTCGAAGATCCTATACACTTGTAAAAATATTGGCAGTTGGGGGGAGAGCAGTGTGTCTGGGTGGGGTGGAGTCACTGCCATGTCTGGTATCCCTGTCATCACTCAGCGGTACCATTGGCTGTGCTGTGCAAAGCCGAGGAGCATTGTGACCCAGAGCACTGTGGGGTTACAGCCACCTCCCCTTTCCTCCACTGTGGGAGGTTTTTCCTCCTAGGTATTTGGGTATCTGCTTCCGAGTCATGGTCCTTGGTTAAAGTGACGGGGTGAAGCTGTTGAGTAAGTCTTGCTAGAACTCTTTTAGGCTCAGTTGAGGGAGGGGTGGGGACTTGAATGCTGTCACCAAGTGTTGCTGTGTGTCCTTGCTGAGGCGGCTCCTAGGTGACCTTGCTGACCTTGCTGATGCCCAGGCTTCTAGGATAAAAGGTTAACTTTGAGAAAGTGGCTGGTGACTAGGTCAGTGACTGGGAAGAGTGGGAGGATGTGGTATTGTTTGAGGAAGGAAGGGGACCAACTGTGCACTTTTTCTCGGACTACTTGGGGAGCTGACAATACTGTGGCCTTTGTGGTACGCATTTCCTGTCTCCTGGAAGATCGTGAAAAAGGACAGCAGGCAGTGTGTGCGTCACACTGAACCCTGAGTCCTGTCTCAATGCCAGCTGGGAGCCCGTAGGCTTTGCCATCCCAGGGGCTCTTGTGCCAGAATCTTCTTACCGAGCACCCCATCACTTGCTTCTCATCCACACTATTGCTGCCCACATCATCCGAGCCCCTCTCCTGAGCTGCCGACTCCCTCGCGGATGCTCATTGAGGTCAGCTCTGTTCTGGCTGTTGCTCATTTGCCATCCTTTCTCTCTTGTCAGTGATCCCAAATCCACTGTAATTGAAGGGTCTGAGCAGAGATAACACACGCTTTGATGAGTCACGTTTGTTCCTGCTTTAATTATCCCTGTGGAACACTATGGATCTACTTTTCACTTGCCAGCTTTGTGACCTAGCTCCTAAAATACATGCGATTTTTTTTTATTCTAGCCTAACAACTAGAAAGAATGCGGTGATAATAGGTTCCCTGAGAGTAACTGCATGGCAACTGTGCACACAGGTGGCCCAGGGACAATGGCCCTGTCTGAGTCCTTCACACGGCTCCTGATGCTGGTCTGAGTCACTGGCTTTCCTAGAGAAATACGCCACTTTTTTTTTTTTTTTTTTTTTTTTTTTTTTTGTGAAACCTTGAACTGACATCCCCCCTCCCCCGCAAGTCCAGGGTCTTAAACACACTTGAAATTGCTCTACCATATTGAGCCGTGCCTCTGGCCTCAAAATGATGTTGAAAGATTCAAACCATTCTTCCACTGAGGAGAGCGTTTGTTTCTGAGAGCAAAGCGAGAGGAACCAACAATGCTGAAGCAGAGGGAATGTATTAGATTGGATCAGCACAAGGAAGGGTTTCTCAGAGTAGGCCCTGAAAGGCTGCAGAGTTCTAGAATATGATTTCCCGTGACATACCCTCTCCATGGAGGATGGGCAGAGGGGGCACAGCTGTCCCACTGGCTCTGCCCTTCATGAGCTCTTGCTCCATAGAATCTGGCAGTTGTGGGACATGTCCTGAATTCTCCCGTCTCCTGTGGTCACTATTCCTAACATGTCCCCAGGCCTGTCTAAACGCATCAGGGACCTGTCCATTTTCCTTCTTCAGCAGACCAAGTCAGCAGTGGGGGTCCCTTGGCCGAACTCCCCTGAGCTGTGTCTGTGTTCTTCCGCTCAGCCCGCTCTTGGTGTTAACCGGTCCTGTAAAGCCACGGAGGGCTCTAATTCTGCTCACCTCTGCTATGTCCAAGCACTGTGCTTGGTGCTGGAGTTTCAGTCGCTTGCCCATGGAGTTTAGTCTCTGTATCAGGAAAAGCCAGACGCTTGAAGAAGCAACCATCGTGAGTGTTGTACGATAAACAGAAAGACAATCATGAACAAACACAGCTGGGACCCTGCGATGCTCCGTGGTTATCCTGACTTCCTGCCAGTAGGCAGTGACATTTAACTGGAGTCCTGAAAAGTGGTGTCAGCACACTGCCATTTAGAACCTTCTTGCGGATGACAGCCCTCATCATACTGGGATGAACTTTTGTAGTGACAGTTGACATGTCAGGCCTATTGAGGGACGCCGCTTTTCTTGAGAGGGGTGTATGCATCTCTTTATCTTCCTTAACTCCCCCCCCCCCCCGCATTGTTGAGTTCAGGGGCTCTGGCAGCATACAGCGCCTTCCTTCCCTTACAAGGTACCCAAGAGAACAGAGCGCCACAGGCCCAGATTCAAAATAGAATCAAGAGGGGGAGGGCCAGGAACTCTGACTACCAAGGGGAACCTGAGATAGGAGTTTGGAGCAACATATGACTGAAATGTCCTTGCTAACTCAGCTTACCTTTGCCTGCCCCCATCTTTGGCCACACAGTTTATCCCGAGGAACAGTCTCCAGATAGCAAGAAAGGAAGATTAAAAGAGACCGATTTCTGATTGGCTCGCAGCATTTCTGTGTGAGAGCATTTTCTGGTGGGCATTTTGCATGGCTAGCTTGGTACTGATGTCCACCACCAGGCTGGTACTGAGGTAGATGCAGCCACACCGCAAGGCCCTGGAAATTCAGAGTGAGGGTGAGCCAGGGGATGGCAGGGTGCAAAGGACCAGCTCGGGCTGGGTTCTAGGTCAGGCTTTCTTGCTGCACTGTGTGTACCATCAGTCTAACCTTTGCCTCCCTGTGCCTCAGTTTGATCTGCCAGCAATGGAGAAGGAATTATTAGGTGACCCATAGGACCAGCCCACCTACGTGCCACGTGTTTGGCTCTTATGTCCATCCTCAGCGTGGCAGATTGATGACCCTTACTGGGTGTGAAGATTGATTTCCCAAGGGTGACCCACTCAACTCCCGTGCTCATCTGTGTGGAACTTCGCGGGGGGGGGAAAGAGGGGTGACTGAGTGACGACAGTGTAGAGAAAGCTGCCCCTGTGCCAGCCTCTGCCAGGGCAACAGACCTTGAGGTTGTGGACTTGTGAAGCGTAGGGTTTATTTTGGCTCAGTTTTGGAGGTTTCAGTGTGCGCTTGAAACCCTGTCGGTTCTGGGTTTGAGGCGAAGTGGCACAAGGTATAAACTAGTAACAAACCACACACCTGATGGCTAAGGAGCAAAAGAGACAGAGGGAGAAACTGGGGTTCCACAGTCCCATGAGGGTGTGCCCCTGAGAACTGAGACACACACTGCTGGGCTCCACCTCTTAGCCTCCTCCCCTTTTGCATTCCGGATGCACACTATAGTACCATGAGCAAAGTGTCCAGTGGAATTCTGAGGATTTTCATAGAGCACAGAGTTCCCAGAAACTTCATAGAAGTTGTAGTTTTACTTGCATCTGAACGCTACCCTCTGCACTCCAAACCTCTTAGCTCCCTCTTACTCTGAACTTCCTGTGCCTTGAGCAGATGGTGGCTGCACCTACTTTAGCACCAGCCTGGTCGTGGGCATCCAGGCCAAGCTAGCCATGCAAAATTCCAAACAGGAATCAGAGACCAAGCCCAGGCCCTGGCTTGTGGTAGGCAAGTTCTCCTTATGTAGCTTTGAAAGTTTTGCTTGTTCTCTTAGGGTGCGCCCTTAGTGCCAGCTGGTCAGGTGGCTCTGTGAGATGAGAAGAACCAGGCTAACGTGGATGGAGTCTCTGTTCTGACTCCTACTTTTCATCTATTTCTTTTTTTTTAAATTAATTTATTTATTATGTGTACAGCATTCTGCTTCCATGTATGCCCGCACACCAGAAGAGGGCGCCAGTTCTCATTACAGATGTTTGTGAGCCCTCATGTGGTTGCTGGGGAATTGAACTCAGGACCTCTGGAAGAGCAGTCAGTGCTCTTAACCTCTGAGCCATCTCTCCAGCCCTTTATTTCTTTTAGTTTGTTATTAACATCTTGATTTTTTACTATGGAAAAATTTAAACTTCCCGAAGAGTAGATGAGTATAAAGCCACCCATATATTTATTGCTTAGGTGTAAAAGTTATCATTTTTGGTTGTATCTACTTATCTCCTGTGTTTATTAATGTGTTTTAGAAGCTGGGAGTGTAGCTCACTTGCCTAACATTTGAAGGCTCTGGGTTTGATCTCCGATACTGTTAAAAATCAAAAAATAGCACTTTAAATACTATTAAAGTTTATTGCTAGGTGCTTCAGACGTAATTCTAGACACTGAAAGCATTTTCATACTTAACCTTATTTTTATCATTAAAATTAATGAGCTTTTCTATTTTGATTTGTTAAAGTTATAATTCAGATTCCGTGTGGTCCATGTAGCCGTTCTGCTTCTAATGTGGTTTTGGTATGGCACAGTTTCTGCTGCCGCTCTTCTTTCTCATGAATTGGGAGAGAGTGTGTGGCTCAGCAGTGGATCGCTTGCCTGGTTTTCCAGAGGGGGGGGGGGAAGAAGAGAGAGAGAAAGGAGAGGAGGGAGAGAGAGAGAGGCTGTTAGTAGTAGGGAGGAGGAGGAGAGAGACTGTCAGGAGGAGGTGGAGAGAGAGAGAGAGACTATATCAGGAGGAGAGATATTTATTCATTCAAGTAAGATTGAGGAGGGCATCAAAGAGACCAAAAACCCTGGGTCATGTGTTGGTGGCTGCAGGACACTCTGCTCTCTTTTGCTTTTGTTTCTTTTTCTTCCTGTAATAACCCTTCATCTTCCCTGGGAAGACCTAGAGTGTTCTGGAAGGAAGTCAGAAGCCTGGAAACCATACAGCACCCTCAATAAGTGGGGGTGGTTGGCATATGATGGTGACACGAAGGGACAAACTCAGAAAGCTGAAGTTTGGGGCTACAGATGAGACCGGAATTTAAAGGAGGTGATCCAGAATCAGGTTCCACATGGGCCTGCGCTGTGTTCCCACAATGTCAGGTCCTTCCTGAGAAACCATGGCTTCTTGCTGAATGTGTGCTGTAGCTTTGGGTCAATAATAACATATGTGTGGGACTGTTGCTTTGTGTAGGGTGTGCTTTCCTTAGTTCTAAAATGGAAGTAGAAGACAGCCCCACAGCAAAGCGAGCCTGCCTGTGAGCTCTGACTCCCTGCCTGCGCTCGCAGCAGGTGGAGGAGGAGCTAGATCATGCCATCTGATGATAATGGTAAAGCCAATGACAATCACGGCTAAATGCTTCTTTTCAGATGAGGAGAGTTTAAGTGATTCAGCCAAAGTCGCACAAGACAACAAATGAATTGAGATGGCTAGCTGTGAAGCCTGGGTGTGGGCAAGCCGGGAGTGAAGCCTTTCACTGGGTGTTGGGAAGTATTGCTGGGCTGTAGTCTGCAGCTCTGTGCTCCGTATTGGTGGCTTCGAATGCCTGCACACATTCCTCTTAGTGGCAAGGGCTAGCAGAGTGATGGGGAGAGTAAGGGACTCAGTTGCAAAACCAAACCAGGGAGCAACTGGTCCTGAAGTCTCTGGCCCTTGGAGATGGTCAGGGCGTCGGCTCCATTCCTGTGCCCGGAGAGGCTTCTGGGTTCTGAATTTTGATGCACACATGCCTGTTTCCTCAACCAGCTGTGCTCTCTGGAGCTTCTGCTCCTGGCTTGGGCTACCCAGAGCTGGAGAGTGCCACATCAGGTCATGGATAAGAATAGAAACCTACAGACTAGGCACATGCTTCCCTGCTGGGCTCTGCCAGGTATCACAGGACAGAGTTACCCCGTGTGGACCACTGCTTCCCCACAGATGGGCAAGAGGTGGAGGATGAGTCCATTTTTCCAAGAAATTTCCTTGGAAGGGTTCTTCATACACACACACACACACACACACACACACACACACACACACACACACACAGATATACAGACACACACACACAGCCCTTATTCTTAGGTGATAATGCTAGAATCAGTTAGACAATTGAGGTTTTAAATCAGAACAACTAAGTTAGAGGAGCACTCAAAAGCTGAGATTTACTTAATACTTGGGCTAACCTAAACAGCAAGGTAGATAGTGAGTGGTGTCTCTGAAAATGTTCATTTCTCAACATTCAGGAAGAGCCTAACTTGGCCTTGATAGTAAATAACTCATTTATTGTTTCCACATTTATAGCCATCATACTGACGGTGTCTATGGTGGCTCCCCTGTGACAGTCCTGGGCTCTGTATGCACACCCTGTGTGTGATATCTCAGAAGGTCGGTGCTTAGGAATGAATGTGAATGCTGGCGCCATGTGTTGTAAGGTCAAGGTTAGTCTGTTGCTATCTTTGACTTGTTTGGAACAATGTCCTGTGCCAGATATTGTGGTGCCAGGCACCTGGGACCCCAGACACACCCTGGTTGTGGGGTGGTGCGGCTGTAGGCTCGAGCATCCCGATGGTTGAATGTGCGGAAGAGACAGCCTTTAGATGTGGGGCCTCGACCCATGGTCAGGGACTCGGGTCCTCTGACTTTGATGTGCCCTGTTTCCACAGCGGGAATGCATATCAGTCCACGTGGGTCAAGCTGGAGTTCAGATTGGCAATGCCTGCTGGGAGCTCTTCTGCTTGGAACATGGCATCCAGGCAGATGGGACCTTTGGCACTCAGGCCAGCAAGGTCAACGATGACGACTCCTTCACCACCTTCTTCAGTGAGACTGGCAATGGCAAGCATGTGCCCCGGGCTGTCATGGTCGACCTGGAACCTACGGTAGTAGGTGAGTACCGGCCAAGGGCTCTGCTGCAACAGCAAAGCGCAGGGATTGGGCTTATGAGAGGGAAAGGAGTTGAAAGGTGTGAGTGAGCCACGTGACTTCCCTCGGGTCCTTGGGGATTTGTAATAGGGGCCAACAGATCCCGCTAATCTGTGCAGAACAAAATGCTTCTTAAACCTGCTGAGACACGAAATGGCCACGATTGTTACTGATGGTACAGGGTAAAAGACACAAAAAGCTCTAGAAATTGTTAGAAACCTTTCAGTCAGGTGGTGGTGGTGTACACTTTTAATTCCAGCACTTGTGTTGCAGAGAGGGCCGCTTGTTTGTCCTGGCAGCCCAGCTAGCTTACACCCAAAATAACCACACAGAAACTGTATTAACTAAAACACTGCTTGGCCATTAGCTCTAACTTCTTATTGGCTAACTCTTACATTTCAGTTTAACCCATCTCTATTAATCTGTGTATCACCACGTGGCAGTGGCTTACTGGGAAAGATTCTAACCAGCGTCTGTCTCAGGTAGAGGATCCATGGCTTCTCTCTTCTGATTCTGCCCTTCTTCCTCCCAGCATTCAGTTCTGTTTTCTCTGCCTACCTAAGTTCCACCCTATCAACTAGGCCAAGGCAGTTTCTTTATTCATTTACCAATGAAAGCAACACACAAACGGAAAAAACTTCTACACCACACTTGGGTGGCAAAGACAGGCGGATCTCAGTGAGTTTGAGGCCAGGCTGCTCTAGAGAGTGAGTTCCAGGACAGTTAGGGCTACAACAAAATAACAGTCTCAAAAAACCTCTCCAATGGTCCATTTCCTAAAGCGTAGGTTTCTGACCATCGCTGAAGTCTGGCTTCGGGGGTATGGTCTAACCTTGCAGCACTTGACAGTCAAGGTGGGGTGAGGGTAGCCACATTCACAGGAAGAGCTGCTGCGTTTGCAGAACACTGCACCTTCTGAGTTAGAACCATACAGGTTGGAGTCTGGCTTTCTCAGGCCAGGGCTCCTGAGGATCCATATCCAGGTGGAGGGAAGGAGAGAAGGGGAGGAAATGGTTTTGGTGTTTGGTGGTCTGCTCCTTCAAGTCTCTTCCTCCTTTCTAGTTCTGCTCAGGGGCCCGGGCTTGGTTAGTGTGCCCTTGTCCCTCTGGATCTCTGAGTCATTGTTCTAGGGTAGACCCGGTCACTCCAGCTGAGTCTCATACTCAGATGAGTGGGACAGAGCGTGTCTCTTGGAAATGGGGATCTGAGGGTCCTGTCTCTTGACAGATGAGGTGCGGGCAGGAACCTACCGCCAGCTCTTCCATCCCGAGCAGCTGATCACGGGGAAGGAGGATGCGGCTAACAATTATGCCCGTGGGCACTATACGGTGGGCAAGGAGAGTATTGACCTGGTGCTGGACCGCATCCGTAAGCTGGTAAGCACAATTGGGCAGGGCAGAGCCCGTCTGGTCAGGCTTGGACTCAGGTGGGTTAGAGGCGAGCGTCAGCTGGCTGTAGGAATAGCTACTAGAGTTCTTGGGGGAGGTTCGTTGGTTGGTTGCTTGGTTGGTGCTCGGGTTCAGATCCAGGGCCTCATCATGTCAGGCACATGCTGTACTGCTGGCTGTACCATGGGCCTCTGGTCATGTTTCAGAAGGAACATTCACAAGGATGTACAACTTCCCCTGCTTGGGTATACTGGCCTACCCTGTAGATGGAGTTAGAGTCAGAAACATAGGTTAGTAAAGCATTGGCTTGGAAGAACCGAGGGAGAGATTTATTACACATTTGAGTAGTTTGTTTACACTATAAGTGCTAATTTCACACCTCCATTTGCTTTCTAATAAACAAGGGAGGCATTTCCCTTGTATTAAATGCAGGAGTTTTGGGCTGGGACAGTTGGTGTCTTAAGTTGGGTCACACTACTCAAGAGTGCTAGAGGCTGCCAAGTTAGGATTTGAATCAGGCTGGCTTGACTACTGCTGCATTGTGGGTTATATCACTTTGTCTTTATAAGCTCTCATTTCCATGTGATGGAAAAAAATAACAGACTCGTGGTGCCTAAAAGTTCAGAACCACTGGATCGGATGACCATAGCTCACATCCTCTGTGAGTCTATAAATTCTCTTAGGTCCGCCAGGAGTCAACATGGAGTGCTTACTATAGTTCTGCCAGGAGTCAACATGGAGTGCTTACTACAGTTCTGCCAGCTCACTAACCATCACTAAACCTCACAAGATGAGGATGTAGCCATGGGGGAGGAGGCCTTTGGAAAGGTTAATGACTGGCTGGAGTGTTTACAAGTTGGGAATTCATGGACGTGTTGCTCATTTTGGTGTGGCCATTCCACAGTGCACACAAGAGCCACAGCAGCACAGTGGCCCCTATAAGTACACACAGTTATGATTTGTCAACCTAAAAACATGTTGTTGTTTTTTTTAATCTCGAAATTTCAAAATCTTAAAAGAAAACATCCATAGCTCCTTTTACATTTCTCAGACCGGCAGGCACCCCGAGCCCTTTCCACGTTTGAGTGTGCCCATAGAACATATGGGCATGTTTCAGCCATGCCCATAGAAGCATATGTCAAGGACAAGGGTAGTCGACAAGATTTGAGCTCTCGGAAGGCAAGGCCCACCACAAAGGCAACTCTGAGACTTTCTATTCCTGCTTTGGCCAGCTCCAAGTCAGAGCCTTATGCACGCATGTGTAGTTTGCCAGTCTAGACATTAACCACTCCTCCCAAGACCAAAACAACCTCTTTTGTGTCTTATTCCTTATATGTTATTATGATTTTTTATGAGGATAGGATATGCAGACAAAAGGGGTTTGTCTGGATTTGTCTCCACGTGGGGTCTCAGGACTCCTCTGATTTCTCCTTGTTTCTGGCTCTCCCCAGACAGATGCCTGCTCCGGCTTGCAGGGCTTCCTCATCTTCCACAGCTTCGGAGGCGGCACAGGCTCTGGCTTCACTTCTCTCTTGATGGAACGCCTTTCCCTTGACTATGGCAAGAAATCCAAGCTGGAATTCTCCATCTACCCAGCTCCACAAGTGTCCACAGCTGTGGTAGAGCCCTATAACTCCATCCTGACGACCCACACCACCCTGGAGCACTCGGACTGTGCTTTCATGGTGGACAATGAAGCCATCTATGACATCTGTCGCCGGAACCTGGACATCGAGCGCCCCACCTACACCAACCTCAACCGCCTCATCAGCCAGATTGTGTCCTCAATCACTGCCTCTCTCCGCTTCGACGGAGCCCTCAATGTGGACCTCACAGAGTTCCAAACCAACCTAGTACCCTATCCCAGAATCCATTTCCCGCTGGTCACTTACGCACCCATCATTTCCGCAGAGAAAGCCTACCATGAGCAGCTGTCTGTGGCAGAGATAACTAGTTCCTGCTTTGAGCCCAACAGCCAGATGGTGAAGTGTGACCCGCGTCACGGCAAATACATGGCCTGCTGTATGCTCTACCGTGGGGATGTGGTACCCAAGGACGTGAATGTCGCCATTGCTGCCATCAAGACCAAGAGAACCATCCAGTTTGTTGACTGGTGTCCCACGGGTTTCAAGGTGAGAATTGAGGACTTGGGGTGGGGGACAACTGGGGATGCAGAGGGGATTCCTCGAGAGAATGAACCTTGGGAACGTGTGGTCTTTATGATAATTCTGGGAGATGATGTAACCGGATGCAACATTAACCTCATTCAACTTTGACCGAGACATTCAGCCCTCGAAGGCTGGTCTGCTTAAGCCATCTTAGCAAGTGCGTGTCTCTGTTGCTATTTAAGGTTAACCATCTTTGACTTTTTCCTTTTTTAAACTGAGGGACCCGAATCACAATGCCTTGAGGACTTGCAATTCATTTCAATTTGCCGAAAAGAAAGCTCAATGGGTGTTTTACCCTTCTAGGTACATTTTAATTTTAGAGTTCACTAAATGATTCAATTTTAGAGTTAACTAAATGGTTCAAATTGCTAGAGAGGCACAGTTCTTTCTTCTAACAGAAGATGCGTTTCCCCAACATATGTTCAGAGTTAACTATGCACCTGTAAGCCTTACTCAGCTTAGAGCAACACCGAGGCAGTGCCTGTCTTTGGGATTGACTCCTGCTTGTCATGAAGTCTCACTTCTCCCCTCCTATTAGTGTTATTCCTGTAGGCCAAGGGCACACAGTCTTCCTGCTCACCGCCCTTCTCCTTGTGACACACATCATCTTTCCTTCCTGGACACAACCTATTTTTGTTTGTCATTCTGGCCAAAGTAGTCAAGGTTATCAAAAAACTGTGTTTCCGTTTTTTAGTTGAAACAAGAACATAAGCTAATAAGGCAGTTAATGGGAAAAAGGAAAAATGAAAGAATTGTGGAGATAGTGGGGTGACAAACACAGAGGGGATGCCACCCCCTCTAGTTTAAGCTTGTTCTGAGGCCCTGTATGGAACTATGAGTAAGATGGTGTTAGCATTGGTAGCTGCTTCTCAGAAAACTACATTCTGGCAGAATGCATATTGCTAAGCCTCACTGGCTGTCATTCTCCCCAGGGGTATTAGTCCCCAGTTTGACTAGGGTCTACAATGTCACTGTTGAGAAGGGAAGAGAGGCCTATGCTGGCCAGAGCCACAGCAGCATGATGCAAGATGTGGTAAAATATATATCTCTTTCACATCTGTGGCCACCTGCTTGTTTAGTGGCCGTGTGTCTTGCACTAGCACTATCTGAAGATGTGTATTCCTAAGCAACACATCTAAGAGGTTGGTAACGTAAACACAACGGCCTTAGTTCTAGGCACTGCCATGGCTCTCAGTGTCCTACTGGTGATACCACACTTTGCCATCTTGATGCCTTCCAGTTTCCTATAATTCTCGATCTGCCTTGGCTTGAGGCCTTTGTGGGGAGATTTCTAGGGTAGAAGCCCCACTGGGAAACTCCCCCTTCCCAGTGCACTAGCAGATCTCGGGAGGTTGGCTTGCCTGTGTGTGACTTTTGACTTCTGTGCTTGCTGTTTCTGCCTTTCTTCTAAGAGAACTGTTTACTAGAGATCTGGCCATGTGAACAGTAACAGTGTCCCCAAAGACCTTTTAAATTTATTTCTCTGGATTCTCCCTGGAACCTCTTTAAAAGCCCTTCACCTCGACAGAGGAACTTCCCTAAATTTATTGCAAAAAAAAAATTAAAAAGAGCACCAGATAAACATCGAGAAAACAATAAACTTTATGATAATAATGTCAATTCTAGAAATTGATTTGCCTTTAACAGGGAAGGTATTTCCTGCCCCTTGCTCCTGAGGTAAACACTTGAGACCCCTCTTTCATGCCACGATTTCACTTAACTACATTCATCAACTTATTTCCTCTATTTAACAGCCTGGCTGTTTCTTTTCCAGCCCCTGTGATCCTCCTGCCTCAGACTCCACGGTATTGAAGTTACCATGTGCCACCATGCCTCTCCCTTATTTTTTATTTCCTCCCCAGCACACACCCATTTGCTCTGCCCATGTTCCCAACTTCCTTGTTCCTCCTCCTGCTCCATCACACCATTCCACCCCACGCCCATGTCTAGATCTTGCCAACAAAGCTTATTACCAACAGATTGCCCAACGCTGTCCTTGACCAACTTGCATGTCTTTCTGTTGCCCGTCTTCTTTCTTTGTTCCCCAGGTGGGCATCAACTACCAGCCTCCCACTGTTGTGCCAGGAGGGGACCTGGCTAAAGTCCAGCGAGCCGTGTGCATGCTGAGCAACACCACAGCCATCGCAGAGGCCTGGGCCCGCCTGGACCACAAGTTTGATCTCATGTACGCCAAGCGGGCCTTCGTACATTGGTATGTTGGAGAGGGAATGGAGGAAGGAGAGTTTTCCGAGGCCAGGGAGGACCTGGCTGCTCTGGAGAAGGATTATGAAGAAGTGGGGACTGATTCATTTGAAGAAGAAAATGAGGGGGAGGAATTTTAAATATACACCTGCCCCATGACTGCGTCTTGTTGTTTGTGTTGCTCCACTCTAACCATGGTGGGTTCATCTCCTAGCACTGTTCACGGACAGACAGACAGACAGGGCAGTAGCAGTTGTGCCTGCTCACTCCCCTTTTCTCTTCTTAGTATGCTGTACTCATGGTTGCATGGGAAAAAGAAACCACAGAAAGAGAAAGTAAAAGACTGGCCTGTCGGTACCAGCCCAGTTCCTGTCCTACATAGATTAGGGTTCTTGACTCCAGCACAAGGGTACCGAGCACACAGGGAACCTCCTCCCTCCCCTGGAATGAGAACAGCTTCATTCCTAAAGAATGAAGTTAAGGTGGACAAGTCACACACGCACAGGGTGGGTGGGGTAAGGAGGAATCTTTATTCTAGGTGGGTTAGTTTGCTTACCCCTAAGACAGTCCTTCTGGGGGAGGAATGGGGAAATACCAGGATCCCACTCTTGGAAGATGCCGTGGAGAGAGCAAATAGGAACTCGTGAAACGGATCTGTGGCACAGCTCTGAGCTCATCTGGATCCATCATGATCCCCCGAAGGGGGGAGGTATCCCAAGACCCTCATTAGGTGTTGACAGCCACCGAGAGTCCTGGCTCTGTATGTATGTTTATATGTATGTATGTGTGTGTTTGTGTGTATTTTAATACTTACATTATGAAATACAATTTATATATCAGCACAGTGAAAGATTAATAGTCGCCATCAATGAAATAAACAACTACAACAGAACTCTATAATAAAAATAATTCAAAGACTTGGGGTGTAGTTCTGTGGTGAGCAGGTCCTTAGCCTGTGTGAAACCCTGGGTTCATTTTCTCCCACTGTACTCAGACAGACAGACAGACACAGAGCAGATGTGCCTGCTTGTTCCTGTTTTCTTATCTGAAGATGCTGTACTTTCTCTTCTATGGGAAAAGGAAACCACAGGAACAGAAAGTGAAATTGTGGTGCCTACAGTCTGTCCTCGGCCCTAGGCACTGTCCCCAGAGCTAGAGAATCATGAACGTGACAGCTTCCTGTCTTCCTGAATACATGTTTAGATAATGAGGTCACTTTAGATGGCATTTCAAGATTTCAGACAGCAGTGACAGTATCTGGAGTGTCATTGTGTCATTGTGGAGCCCAGAGAGCACGAGTCCACAGATCCTGGGCTTAGAGGGAGCAAGTGTGGGTCTGACGGCAAAAGAGGCGCTCGCTAGGAGGGTGGGAAGATGGGCAGGTGCCGGGTCAGTCCATCCTCAGCATCATGGATCCTTACACGTCTCCTAATTGAAACACAAGCACTCGAAGGCTTGAAGAAGCTTCACTGTCCTGAGCTCCAGTGCTCCCAACAATCTCAGGATGAAGTTTTGGGTCATTCTGGAGGGGACACTGAGGTATGCAGAAGCAACTGCTTGAGACCGCACGGTTCCAACACCAGGCCTCTCTCCACTGTTTCTGACTCTCGTGCTTCTGGGTTCCTCATGAAATAGCCCACAGCAGAAACAAGTCTGCCATTTGCCAAGGAGAGGATGGGGGCGCAGTGCCTCCCTGCAGCCAGCACTCAGGATTTCAGGCGATTGGAAGGCTGTTATTGTTTAGATACCCGTAAGACTTCCAGGGTCAAGCCCCTTGTGCTATGGGTCCTTGCGTATCAAGTGCATAGCTCTTCACGTGTGTTCCCAGAAACTTTCTAGTCTATTGCTTGGGAACCCCGAGAGAAGTAGAATGTCCTTGTCCAAGAAAAGGAAGGCTAGGCAAGGTGTGTAACAGGCAAGGTGTGTAACAACCTGCTTTCTGGCCCTTCTGTGCAGATCATGGTGCCAAGAAAGCAAGTCCAGGACTCGCTTTAGGAGGTGGAGGAGGGTTGTTTTAGAACTGGAGACTCGTGTCCCCATGTGAGGGTGGCTAGGGAAGCAAGTACCTGCCATTCCCAGGGCCGGTAGCTCCTAGCCTATCACACCAGCTGGAGGCTTCTTAGGAAGGTGAAGTAGAGAGCTGGAGAGATGGCTCAGTGGTTAAGAACACTTCTGCTCTTCCAGAGAACCCGAGTTTGGTTCCCAGTACCCACTCCAACAGCTCACAGTCTGTAACTTCATTCCCAGAGGAGATGACATGTTCTTTTGGCACCTGTACGCATGATATGAGCACACACACACAACACACATATGTATTTGGGATTTATTAGAATGGCTTACAGGCTGTTACCCAGCTAATCCAACAATGACTGTCTACCAGTAGAAGGTCCAAGAATGCAGTAGCTGCTGGTAACAAGGCTAGATGTCTCAGCTGGTCTTTAGAAGAAGTAGGCCAGGGAAGAAATGGGTTTGCCAGAGAGAGCGAGAACAAACAGACAAAGAGAACAAGCTTCCTTCTTCCATGTCCTTTACATAGGCTGCCAACAGAAGGGATGACCTAGATTAAAGGTGGATCTTCCTACCTCAAAAGACCCAGATTAAAAGTGGGTCTTTCCATAGAGCAAAGAAAGCCAGCCTACAATTCACAGTCCCAGAGAACCTAGACAAGAAAAAGAACCCTAAGAGCAACATACATAGATCTAATCTAAATGGGAAGTAGAAAAAGACAAGATCTCCTGAATAAATTGGGGGCATGGGGACCATGGGAGAGGTTTGAAGGGGAGTGGGGAGGAAGAGAGGAGAGCAGAGAAAAATGGATAGCTCAATAAAAACAATTCAAAAATTACTCTATCACTTCAGACAAGTTAAAAAAAAGTGGGTCTACCCACTTCAATGATTTAATTAAGAAAAAAAAAACAAAGCCTTGTGGGTCTTAGTTAATTACAGCCCTAGTCAAGCTGACAACAAGAATGGGCATTAGGTTCTCATAGTCTGGCTTGCCTCTCATGCAGTCTAACAGATTTGCCATCGCTCTCCTGTCCTGTCCTCTCCCCTCTTCCCTCCTTTCCCCTGCTCTGCCTCCTTCCCGCTTCTCTCTGTGTTGCAAGACCCAACTCTCCACACTAAGAAATAACATAAAACAAACCACCCCAGCACAGTAGCGTAAGTCCAGGATGGTAGGCACCTGGACCTTCTACGTCCAGCGATTTGGCTCACGCTGAAAGTATTGACTAGAGCAGTTGGATAAGGAGACGCCAGAGAATAATCTCTATAGATGGTAATGGAACAACCGATAGAGTACTATGTAATCAATGGGAATCAGAAGGGCTGTGGAATTTGTGTATATTATTGTTTATGGATTCCTGTTTGATGCTTTGTGTCTCTATGTCTTTAGTATTAATTTCTTCTCATCCTCCATATTGAAAATTTATGTCTTCCCTGTTTCTTTGTTAGTCATGCCTGTTGGAGATTTTTTTTTAAAGAATAGACTTCCTGTTTTATAATTTTTCACTGTTGTGTGTTTTTCCAATTTTATTTACCTGTGCTCATACTTTTTAATATTTATTCATTCGTTTGTTAGAGCCCGTGAACCCCAACATAGATAACTATCTTCCCTAACTGGACTGGTACGGAGCCACAAGGAATAATCAGACACAGCTTACACGGTCATCACGGAAGGGCATCTCAGGCTTCTTCTCTCCTGAAGATCTCCCCGTGTTTATTATCCAAACAGCTTTTATACCAACACATAAACTGAGCGGGAAAATACCTGTCTCCTAGGTAACCAGGTGAATGGCATTTTGTCACGTCCGCATCTACCTGTCTGCTGTGTATGCTAGCTGTCACGTAGGCTTGAATCAGCTTCTCTATAAGGCATCCTCCAAATTACAAAGAAAGGAGCAACAACATCCTTACCTTTTGTTAGGCAGAGACAGCTTGTCTGCAGAGCTATGTGACCACCTCGGATGGGGCCTATGACTTTAGAGCCTGGCTGCCACACCATATAAAAATATGGGCCTACATTCGTTGCTATAAATCTCTAGCTAGCTTAGACCTCACTGTATAGACCAGGCTGGCCTTGAAGTTGTGGTGATCCTCCTGCCTTTGCCTCTTGCATGCTGGGTTTAATGGCATGCACCACCATGCCTGGCTTAATTTCTGTTAGTGGAATCTTAAATGACTAAGACTTAGCTTTTCCCCTAATATGAACACTTAGTGCTGTGCAGTTACTCACAGCAGTAGCTGTGCTCCCTAAGTTTCATCATGAGTTTCATCTTAGGAAATATTACATGCACTTGACAGAACGTGTGTTGCTAAATAAGGTGTTCAGTAAGAATCAGTTAGACTGGGGCTGGGAGGTAGATGACTCAGAGGTGAAGAGCAGTCACTGCTTCTGAGGGCCTGAGTTCAATTCCCAGCTTCCTGAGTTCAATTCCCAGCAACCACATGGTGGCTCACAACCATCTATAATGAGATCTGGTGCCCTCTTCTGGTGTGCAGGTAGAACACTGTATACATAATGAATAAATCTTTAAAAAAATCAGTTAGATCCCATTGGCACTGAATTATTCTGTTGTTCTTGCTGATTTTCTGTCCAACTGTTCTGTTGATCACCGAGATTTCTTCTAGTAAAAAATTTTTGCCTCATGTATTTGGAATCTAAATGTCTGTTCTATTGGTAAGGGTAATGTCCTTTTCTTTTCTTCTTTTCTCTTTCTTTCTTTCTTTCTTTCTTTCTTTCTTTCTTTCTTTCTTTCTTTCTTTCCTTCTTTTTCTTTCTTTCTTCAATTTTCGCCACTCTGAAACCTTTATGATACTAAATGTAGCCCGTAATCATTATTTGTGTCTGATGTATGCATGGTAAATTATTCCCCCACCTGTGGGGAGAGATGAAATCCTTAGCGGATGTGTGCTGTTGATGGTGAGCATGGCCCTGTCAAGGATGCCAAAACCTCAGACCCATGGGAAAAGCGAGGCCTTCCCCAGGTTTGAGTACAGATGTTGGCAGTGCGTGCACGGAGTACGACCACAGTTTCCTGTACAGACCATGGCTTCCTCTCCCAGGTTGGGGTACCTGCAATGAGAGACTGCTCCCCTACAGAGATCCTTTACTAGGATTAGCTCACCTGCCCCCCCTCCTGCTGTGTAGAAGACCATCTGAGTTTCTGGCTGCTGCATCTCCATTGGAGTGCACCGCTCTCAGGACCCCGGCTTTTCTGCACGTGTGTCTGTTATTTCTTCATTTCCCGTTACCTCAACTAGGTCAAAGCCAAAATTGTGCATGTCTTGGCTCCCACCTAAATTACTGTCTTGTTCCTGTGACTAAAATACCCAGCAGAAACAGTTTGAAGACAGACAGACCTGCTTTGGTTCCTGGTTCCAGAAGAGTTCGGCTCATGGCAGCAGTAGAGTGTGATGGTGGTGTGTCATGTCACAGTGGACCAGGGGACAGAACAATCTGCAGCCAGAGGTCACGTTTTAAATGCCCACTGCTTCTATTAGCTAGCCTCCTCTTCCTAAAGGTTCCACAGCACTCCACTCAGAACGTGAGCTTGTGGAAGCTATTTCAGAGTCAAATCATAACACAACCTATTCCGTGTGTATATGTATTGTTTTTAACTCTTACGAACAGGTGTAGAGTAATTATAAAACCACTAGGTTTCATAATTGTGGCCATTTTAGACAGGCATGTAGCAACCTTAATTTTTGCCCTATTTCTCCCAGTTTTCTTTACATTTCCCAGCAGACTTTTTTGTTTTTTGTTTTTTGTTTTTTTTCGAGACAGGGTTTCTCTGTAGCTTTGGAGCCTGTCCTGGCACTAGCTCTTGTAGACCAGGCTGGCCTCGAACTCACAGAGATCCGCCTGCCTCTGCCTCCCAAGTGCTGGGATTAAAGGCGTGCGCCACCACCGCCCGGC